TTTTTCGTTCAGTACAGCAAGTAAAAACATCCAGGAAATCAAACACAAACTACTAGAATGAGGCAATATTTTTCCGTATCAAAACACTAATAAAAATGTATGTTTCAAAGACGACTAAAATGCAATATTTTGAATGTTAAAAATTTTTTAGCAGTAACTTAAATTACATCGAAAGCCTTAATAATGGTTCTAAACACAAATAGTTTCTTCAAGTTATGTTAGCTACATCGAATAATTATCTATAGGGGAGGATTAATAGACAGACTGCATTTTAAGATTCTGCCCTCAAAGTAATAAGTCTAAAAGTATTCCTTTACGAATTGGGCCCACCAGCGGCCGAGCGGTAAAGTCGCTGAACACTGGTAGTTCGGTCCGAGGTTCGAATCCCGCGAACGGGCTGGCTGCATGGGTGTTTTCGTGGTTTTTCCCATGTGTAACGTGTATACGAGCAAGTTTCCCTTAGAAAGTTCTCCACGAAGGCAGATAGCTTTAGTGTGCTTTGCCATAATTAAATACACCACACCACACCACCTTTACGAATTAAAATTAAAAGACATATTCTAGAATATTTACTTCAAGATGAATTATAAAAAGAACGTAATATATAAATGAATTAATTGTAAATATTAAACGGTAAATTAAATTATTTTTCACAATAAATCAGTAACTCTGACAAAAGTTATGAAGGCAAGGTTGTAGAAACATTAGGTGTTTTTGGAAGCAGGCAAGATGAAACATGAGCAAACGCCTTCGCAGGGCATCGAACCATGGGCCTCTGGAATACCGGCCCAGCGTGCAGAACCACTACACCACGAAGGCACGCTAGCAAGGCAGGAGAAATACCTTATAAGGTTGTAGAGTTAATAGGTTTTTTTAACCAGGAGAGGTGAAAAATGTGCAGTGCCCTCCCCGTGTTTCAAAAGCTGGAGCCCTGGAGGTTTTTTTGAAGCAGAAAAGGTGAAAAATGTGCATTGGCCTCGATGGGCCTCGAACAATGGACCTCTCGAATACGCATCAAGCATGCTTCCAACTACACCACGAAGGCATGCGGAAAGGAAGGAGAAAATACCTTATAAGGTCTATTATCAGACTACAATCCAACCATTCCCTCTTTTACACTAATTACATCTTCTCGCTCTGTCGCACAAGCAGGACCGACTCATTTAAGAATTAAATAAAAAAGGTTACCTTTAACATTTTTAAGACTACAGCCATAACTCGCTTCCAATCTAATAGGGTTTACAAGACCCTAACCCAAGTTTCTAGCCATAACAGGAACATACATATATACTATGATAGAAATTACGTAAGTGAAATTTTATGTTCTTCTGATGTGAATTTTATAAGATACCGTCCGCATCTGTTTTAAAACCGAAATAAGCAATTATCTGGGATCCAGTGAACGGATTAGTCCATTCTAAATTAATATCTGCGAGAAGAATAGTTTTAAACTATGAATAATTTTGATAAAAAAACGGCCTTCAGAAACGAATTTCATTCGTGAGTTGCGGTTTCTGTCTATATCTTTACTATCTCATTCTTCATCAACGTAATTGTCAGAAGACAATTTCCGGCACACTTTTTACTTGTGAGAACATTTCTTGACAAGTTATACCATTAGACTTTGATTTTTTTTTTTTTTTTTTTTTTTTTTTTTTTTTTTCCCCGTATCTAGTTTGAAAGGTCCAAATAATGTTTTTAAAAATTTATCCTTTAACAAAGTGCATTTATGGTAACATCGAAAGCTTTATGGAAATGGATATTTGAAGTAAAGTTACGAATTAAAGTTTCCAAGGGGAGCTTGGCGATATCATCCTAAGCATACTTAAGAGCCACCACGCATTATGTTTCTAAACTATTATTGAGTACTTAAATTCTGGATCGATTTCCTTACTTTCACTGAAAGAATATATATAATATATATGCTTCCTTTTCAAGCTCACATGCTCCCTTTTTATAACAGTCCAGTGCCACAAAAGTCATAAAAGTATTATCCTTCTTGCTGAAGTGGAAAATAGCGATACTGGCATTAAATCTGAAAGACTCCGAAACCTTTGCAACAAATTTTGTACTTAGCATTCGAGGAAAGGATAAAGAGAAATTCATACTCAAAGTTCATACCAAATACTTTTTTATTTTCTTATCATTAACAGATATACATCTTACAGACTAAGGTGGCCAAATTCTGCATATTTATGAGCGACTTTTTTTCTGGCCACATACAAAATGCAAATTAAATTTCATTTTATTATGTTATCATTAATTGAAAATCTGTCTATATAAAGTGTCAGCATATCTTCAACCAAGCATTCATACCTTGAGTTAATGATTCAAGGTATGAATTGAGCATCATTACCTTGAGTTATCTAAACAAAGTTAATGATAATGAATCTTCAATATGAAAATGAATAAGTAGGAAACGATGTTTATTCTTCGTGAACTTTAAGTACGAAAAAGGCCGATTCACATAAATATGCAGATCTAAAACAAGATTATGAACATGCTCACTAAATTTGAAGATACTGGGTTACTTTTCTCGACTGATCTATTTCTGAAACTCTTCCGCAAGTTCTCTAGCTTGTAAGGTTAGATCAGTTGATAGAGTTATGATTTCATTTTCTAACGCAGTTTTCATATTAAATATGTAAGAACTTTTTACAGCAACATGTTTTAGATTTATAACATTTTTGAAAGTAAAAGATAGATACTATAGAATAACGTTTTCGAAATTATAAAATCTGACTAATCTCTTTTTTTATCTAATCTAATCAATCTCTTTTTCAATTTCGACACGTATTTTTCATTGTAATAATTACAATTTTGATTATTGATGTTCTTAGAGATGTTTGGACACACTTCGGGGATCAAACTGTTTTGCTGAAGATGTCTTACAGTATAATATTTTTTTCAATACATTTATGCTACTAATAATTTCAATCAGTGTCTTGTTTTTCCATTGCAGTTCTAAATGTCAATAACTTAATTTCCATATAAAGTCTATAAGAAACTCTAAAACACTTAGCAAGGTTTCATCATTTCAGTTTGCCCATTCTTGATTCTGCTGTTCGAGAAAAACGTTTAAGTCAGTTAATAAACCACAAAATCGTTGCAGAAATTTGTTTATACTTTGCTACTCGTATCTATTTAATAAGAGTTCTAAATAAGTTATTTTCCACATCTAAAAACATATCGGGTACAGAGTTTCGAAATATTGAAAAATTATAAACTAAATTTATCGCCCTCTTTTAAAACAAGAATGATAAAAATGTCCTGTTCGCCTGGGCGATTTTCCATATTTGACAAAATATGTTATGACGCAAAAGTGAAAATAATGTTCTTCTTGGTCGCTGCTTGCAAAAATAGCTTGGAAAAATAATTTATGATACACCTTAATACGAAAAAGAGATTAAATATTCTCTTTACAAAACTCATCTACAAATTTTATCACTTTAAATAACAAAACTTTTTCTTTTAAATAATAGAAGCATAGGCGCCAAAATAACGAAATCTATCAATCGAATTGCATTGTTGAAATATAAGCATTACAAATTTATAAAGGGCACTTCTACACTTTTATTATTCGTGATATAAAATTTTAGATGAATTTTGTAAAGAAAATTATTTAACCTTCTGTTCCTATTAATATTATTATTTTACTTTTAGTTCATAAATCATTTTAGAAATTTTAAATAAAAGCTTAAGTTACATTTTTTTAAATTAATATTAACCTGCAGAAGAAGGCGAAAAGTTTAGTTTCTTTCTAACTACTGTGTTGATGTGTTCCTTCCCTGTATAAAATCTGGAGCAGTCTAGAACTTATGGTTGTCATGACGCCAAAATTTATCATCAAAATTATAGTGAAATAATAAATATGATGAATCTAGCAATCAGATCATCGTAATCAAAGAAAAAGGAAAATTTAAACTATTGGTCCTGTTGCCAAGGCCGGTTTAAGTCATTTCAGAGTTCCCCCCCCCCCAAAAAAAAAGAAGATCCCATTTAAAAATGAGCTTTCTATAGCAGATCTTCATGGACTATTACATAATTTATTACCATTATTCATTCATTTCGAAAAAAAAGTAGTACTTATGTAACATACTTTGTATAATAATTTTCTCAGTTTTCTGTAGCCATTTTTTGGCATATTTCAAGAAACTGAAAACTGAAGTAACCTGTGGCGTAACGCTTTTGGACACTAGTTATACCGGTCATAAATAACGGGGGGAAAATCTGCTCCCTGGGATTATTTACTAGTTTGAGAAAAAAAGCAAAGAATGGAAAAGACTTTTTTTAGCAATGATGATATTATAATGGTTCGATTAATTATTAAACAATACAAGGATGTCCTTACAGAGTTCCAAAACAAAATAGGACAACAGAAATTTTTTGCAGAATAAATTGTGAATCAGAATTTAGACCCTGTTTTTCCCCTCTATTTTTAGATCTACAAAACTTAAAGATGAGTGAAAGCTGGGGCCTCGATTTGGGCCTGAACTAATAAATAATTTGATCCTGATAAAACTCTGCTTTTGGGAATTCGGTTTTTACAGATATGATATATTTTGAAATAGTACTTCTAGTTTAAAGTCCTTTTTAATCAATCATACCTCTGAACTTAAAATATATATAAAATAAAAATTAAAATAAAATTAACCATTTTATTGTGTTTTAAATAAAATAAAGAAATATTTTATCAAGCAGTTGAAAAAATTATGCAAAGAAAAAAGTATTGCTGATTTCCGATCTCTGCTCCGAAGCATCTTGCATGTTTCTAATAATGTCCTATACCACAGATTCTTGATTTAGAATGACCTTATATGCATGTGAATAATTAATACAATTATGTAAAGTAAATTATTTTTGCTAAACTACTTTCTGTACCATCATCAAAAAATTAGTAACTGAAATAGTTTCAATTATAAGCACTTACATTCACCCTCATTGTTTTCTCACAATACCAAATGTACATGAATTTCAGATAGTCACCAGAAAACAAAAAGTCTTGCGAGTGAATAAATTTTAATTCCACTTTTATTTACAAAATATATGTTTTAAGAAACTTCATAATATTCTTCATTACACATCAATGTATTGAGCTGCTTGTAGGGAAAGCAATAAATATCTATAAATTATGCAACTACATTTTCTTTATTTTTCTCACAGGCGAATTGATGGATGTGAAAAATATCTTCAGGTGTAGTTCTACAGCATCCACCAATTATTTTTGCTGAAGCATTAACCCATGTGTCCAAATAAGTATGATTAGGCTTTACTTTCTCACCAGTCCAGCTATAAGGAGAAACAAATACTTCTGATTTTAATTAATTTGGAACTCTACAATGGTACATTTGTAAATACACCATAAAACTATTACAAAAACTTTAACTATAGCACAAAATGGTTGTTTCTTTTTTACTTTAAATTTGGTATTTTAACAAATAATAAAGAATATATATATACATACAAATGGAACCCATACATACAAACAGGATAGTGAAAATAAAATTCTGAAAAATGAATAAAAGATTGATACACTAGTAAATTTTGGTACTTCTTTGTTATAGCAACCCCCCCCAACAATATTTGGCAATTTTAGATTTTTGCCAAAAATAAACTATACAATATATATTATAATAGTCACATGTTGTTTGCTAAGAATAGTTTTAAGAAGGATAATGCTTATTATTATTATTTTATGAAATGTTAATTTTTCCTGTCAACTGTAGCACTTTCACACATCTTAAGCTATTCATTTCACCATTTCGTAGACATAAATTGATCTGCTCAATAATACATAAATCTAATAGCAGTGATGAATGATATTTTGGAACCACTGAACCAATTTCCAAGAGGCCTTTCTTTTTGAAATTTTTAACATTGCACCTCCAAATGGTTTCATTGTTAGCATAAAGTTTTATGTTGTGGCCATTTTTGTATACTCGTTTGTCAGGTAAAAGACCTCTTTCACATTCTTGAAAAATAATATGCCTTCCACCTCATTACTTTGTCAATTAAAGATGGTTAATGTCATATTAACAAAAAATAGCAATGGATATATTTTTAAATAAATAATGTGAATTCAAAAACCTCAGAAAAAATAAATAATATAAGAACATGCGGTGAGAGCAAAAATGCAACACGGTGCTAGTATATGATTATAAGGTATAAGAACATGCTGCCAGTGCTAATATACAATCAAGTGGTGAGGTATAAGAATATGCAGCTAGAATTAAGTGAGATATCTCGGTTGATTGATGATTCAGTCTCAGGGCCACTATAACAAAGAAGTAGTAAAAATAAAAGTTTTCAAAAAAAAATTGATTACATTCTAAAGTTTGTTATTTTCAATTACAAATTTATCTGGTCCTATATTTTGACATCTACTTATATATGTATGTATGCATAGTTATTTATTATGGATTTATTAGTTATGGATTTTGCATACAGCAAAATTTTAAATTATCTGTATTAAATTAGAAGCAAGACAAAATCAGAAAACTAGGCATAATAATCTAACATCAAATCAGCCAATCAACCAATACTTCAAGAGAAAATATATTAAGTAATCATTTCATGACATGCAATTTATTGTAAATATGTAATAAAAAATAATGCAAAACAATATATGAAACTTATAGCAAAATACATAAAATACAATTTAATACAAGATAATACAAATAGAATTTAATAAAAAAATAAGAGTTTATAAAAAGATTAATGACTTATAATGAAAACAAAAGATTTACTTGTATTAATAATTTACACTAAAAAAGGTTAATGAAAACAAATTTTTTCATAAATTAGACTTACAATAAAGTAGCATTTAATACAGCCAAATTCAACAAATTATTTTGCAAGAGAAAAAAAAAATATGTAAAAACTTTTTTTCCCTTTTTTTTTAACCCACCACCACACCTATATGAAGCAACTGAATTACTTAAATTGCAATTCCAATGATACTTTGTTACATTTTATAGAAAATGGGGAAATAATTTTCATAATCTACTTCACTGTCAAAATCCTGATGATAGCATTTCATCTGAAATATCTAAACTAAATATATATGTAATGTTTTTATTTCCTCAGTAAATTCAGTCCTTCTTGCTAAATTTTCAATCTACTGATACTTTGCACCAATTTGAAAACTCTTAATCATAGGTTGCTTGATTTAAAATTAGTCCATCACTTAGTTTCTGACAAATATTACCACCTTTTCATGGAGAATGAATTCAGAAATACAGTATACTCTTTTCTGAAAAACACATTTGAGCACATCCTCTTTAATCTGAAAGTTAATATTCTCTTTATATTTTTACACTGTGGTGTAATTATTCTCTATATCAAATGCAACAGATGTCATTGTTTCAGTATTAACATCTGTTGTTGAAAAATTGCAATAGGCTTCAAATCCACCATTTGATCAATGAATCTGATAATTTCCATCTTTTGTTCTCAGAAGAAATGATGTATTTTGCTTTAATTACCTTTTACTAAACTTCTCAGAATCGTGCAGCTCAGAGTTAATACAAAGTTTATAAAATTGGGGACTGCTGAATGACTGTCTTGTGTTTAATCTAATATTGCCATCCATATTTTTTCCTCTGGGCATAATTTTACGAAAGAACATGTAATTTTAAATGCAAAATTAACCAATCTTCTACTCAATGAGTAAATGCAACTGAGCCAATGCCAATGATTTGAAAATTACGGAGTTCCTATGGTTCAAAACCATTTACCTCCTCATCAGTAATTACTAAAAGCGAGCAGAAATGAGAAAAATTTTGCATAAGTGAATTACTTGATGCACACTAGAGGGAGCCACTGGCTCAAGAAAGTTTAGGGATAGAGATGAGATAATAAAAACTTAAGAATCATAATATTTTTTATAAGTTTTTAGGTTTTATAATTTTTTTGTATTTTATATTTTATACTTTTTTTGGTTTTTATAAATTTTTATACACAATACAACACACTAAAGCAAAAGCGGATAGGAAAGATTTTAAGATTAATAGGCTCATTGGCATGTGGCTTGTGTAGGATAGTGCAAATAATAAATATGAACGCGTTGAAAATATTCATAGGCAGATTTTAAAAAATCTGCGGGAGATGTGATTCTATGCGAAACAGATTGATAACTTTGCTTGAAGATCTTGGTTGCAGGTAGAGGATGGTAATAAGCAATTATATGGCAGCTCGCTGAAGAGACTTCCTTCCTTCATGGCGCGGGAGCTGGAACTGATGTTGAGAGGGAGGGCGTGTCTTGCCCTTTTAGATGGAGGGTAGATGCCGAACTCTCGGCCAATCACGGCTCTTGGTCTCTTCTGTGAGCTGCGAATAGCAGGATCGTAGGCTGGCATCTGCTGAAGTGCTCGGTTATCAATCTGTTCAATTTTGAGGAATAAATTTTGACTATGTTTTTTGAATAAGGTAATCAACAGGTTTAATATTAAGGTCCGAATGAATCACATCTGTACGGACGTACCAAGGCTGCATTTAGGGCCATACGTAAGGTTTTACTTTGAAAAGATTGAAGTTTTTTCACATGAGTTTTTGCAGCAGCAGTACCCCAGATTGTACATGCATACATAAAGACAGGTCTTATAATGGATGTATAGAGAAGGATTTTGTTTTTAATTGACAGATTGCTCTTTCGAGCTAAAAATGGGTAAAGTTGGGCTCTGGCACCTTTTGCTTTGTTGAGAACATTTTCAATGTGAAGGCGCCAGGTTAATTTTGAATCAAGTACAACTCCTAGGTACTTGTAAGAGTTTGACCAGGGAACATAGTCGTCAAAGAATTTAATATTAATGGAAGGGTACGGGAGGGGGCTACGTTTGAATATCATAGCAGCACATTTAGCAACATTAATTTTTATTTTCCAAGTGATGAGCCAGTGCTCAAGGCTAGAGAGATAACTCTGAATGATTTGGACCAAGTTTTCAAGGCGTTTGTGTTGAGCTAGGATGGCCGTATCATCTGCATAAAGTGCAAGAGTGATACTAGGTGATTTTGGTATGTCATTTATGAAAATGTTGAACAAAATTGGGCCTAAAAGTGACCCTTGGGGGACGCCGCTTAGTATAGGACGGGGTGTCCGAAATGAAGAATTAACTCGTACAGAAAAAGATCTATTAGTGAGGTACGAATTAATTATATGAATTAAATGGGCCGAAACGTCAAGTCGTATGTATGAGCTTGATAATAATTCCTATATGCCAAGTCCTATCAAATGCTTTGGCTATGTCAAGAAATAAAGCGCCAGTAAGCATTTTGTTACGAAACCCTTCGTGAATGAACTCCACTGTCCTCAGCAGCTGGTGCGTGGTGCAGTGTTTTTGCTCGAAATCCAAATTGTTCATCAATCAGAACGTTGTGATTTCGGAGAAAATCATTCAGGCGTTTAAGTAACACAAACTCGTATATCTTAGATAACGAGGATAGGAGGCTGATAGGTCTATAATTTTGAGGGTTAGAAAGGCTTTGGCCTGGTTTTGGAATAGGCACAATAAGTGCTTGTTTCCAGCTTTGAGGAAAATAGCAATGCTGTATCATAAAATTTATAAGCATTACTAAGAAAAATAGATAATGGGTGGGTAAATTTTTAATCATACGATTAGAAATAGAGTCCATACCAGGGGCTTTTTTGGGTTTGAGCTTGGTAATGTATTCACTTACCTCGCTCATGGATGTATATTGTATTTCTCTCGCAAAGGCGAGGAGAGAGGAAACGTTCAACATCTTGTGGGAAAGAACTTGCGCTGTTCGCAAAAATTCCTTCATTATGTGGTGTAAATTGAGTTTGAAGAGAATCCGCAATTAATTCGGATTTCTCAGCGTCGTCTGTGTGAGCCACCACTGCGTCCGTAGCTAAGGACGGAATGTTAGATTTGTGTTTGCGTAGGCGGGCTGATGCGCGCCAAAGACTGTTATCATTGGTCGTTAGGGACTGAATGTAATTCGTGTATTGTGATTGGAAGAAATGGTCACATGATGCCTTGATCTCATTTTGGAGAGCACGGAGTTGAATTTTTAAACCAGGATTTCTATTTCTTTGCCAAAGTCTCCGTACTTTATTCTTTTCTTTAATTTTGAGTTTAATTTCTTGAGGTAATTTACGAAAATTGGGTCTGAGGGTGGGTTTTGATACTTCCTTATAAGTATCTGTTAAAATGGTCGTTAAGTGATCAACTGCCGAGTCTATATCATGGCTGGATTTAATTTCAAGGGAGGGCAAACTTTTACTTTTAAGTTTGAAACTAAAATTGTCCCAGTTTGTAGAGACGAGTGCCGGAGAATTTTTGATTAAAGATAGTACAATTAAGGTCTATGATTACGGGGTTGTGATCTGAGGATAAACAGTTTTCCACAGTCACGTGATATCCAAAAGGGATGTTTCGAAAGAGTGCCAAATCGATGAATGAAGGGGCACCCCGTGAACCATATCTAGTAGGGGAATCCGGCGCAATAATTTAATTTGGGCGCACTGAGCCCATTTTAGAAGGCCACGACCAGCAGGGTTTGATCTATGGCAACGCCAATGCTGGTGGTGACAATTTAAATCACCAGCTATGATTAGATTGTTGGAAAAGGTGAGCAATTTGTTAAAATCAACCACAGGTAAATTTCCACCTGGTGGAAGATAGGCAGAGATCATTACAAGGGAGGGCGAATTTTGAATGAAAATTTCGATGATTGTTGCCTCGAGTTTACTCATACTCGGAGTGTCAATTCTTTTGTGTGGTATTGAATTTTTAATATAGACACATGTGCCACCATGATAAACATCACGAGTATTAGAAGCTTGTCTGTCATTTTTATATAATGCATAATTTGCAAGCTTGGGAGCTCTCCCTGGCTGGAGTTTGGTCTCTTGGACAAAAATAATGTCAATGCAACTGAGAAATATTGAATATGATTGATGCTTATACCTACATTCATTTAAAAAATTTTAATTATAGGTTATGTTAGATTATCTGTATGTGGGAAAGCCATGAAGGCTATCTGCCTAAGAGGAAAGATGTCTTTATGGAGGACATTTAGAGAAACGGGCTCATATTCACATTAAATATGGGTAAAATCATAAAAGCAATTATGTAGCTAGCTTATTCAGTTGGGTTCAAACCTAAGCAGATCAAACTACTCTTAGTAGATTAAGTAGTCTTAAACACTTGAGTTGAGGCCTGAATTATAAAAGAAGAATTTCAAGTTATTCATATTATCCAAAAATTTTGTCTTATACTTTATCTTTCATCACTAATTATTCTGCTTAATTTGTCAAATGCTTTTAAAGCCAAAACTATACTAAAAGATAAATAATTGCTTGTTACACTTGCTACAGCTTTCTTGCTTTTTTTGCATAATTTAACAAAAAGTCTTTAAAAATAAATTTAATATGCTATTCATAGTTTAATACAGTTTTAAAACCGAAAAATGTATTAATATTTTATACACAATATTAGTAAAAATTATCTATATGATAATCATATTTTTTTTTAAACAATCAGAATTACCCTTGCTGATGATCCCACTTTTCTCCACTATTTGGATAAACAATCAAAGGAAAACCATCAGAAACTGAAGCAATGTCTTTTAAAAGACTACCAGCAAATTCTGCGGGACAGCAATTAACTCCAACAGCAACCAACTGACCACTGGGTGCCCTTTTTATACAGTTTAATGCAGCAGAACTAATATCTTCTCCATTGCATGTATAGTGCATAGACTAAATAAAACATTCAATTAGAAACATAATTAGCAAATAAATAAATTAACAAAGTCACTTAAAAAATTATAAATTGTAGCCAAATTTATTTAATTTTAAATAATGGTTTACATAATTTTAAATTCTTATATTGGAGAAAAATATGAAAATTATGTAAAACCCTTTTTTCTGCACTTAAAAATTTTTAGTCCTCTCTCATACTGCAACGCCAAACATTTCTACAGATACAAAAGGCTAATTCAAAAGGTTAATTAATTGCTTTAGTTATGAATATAAAATTAACATCAGTTTATTGGTTCTTAGAAAGCTTTCACACAAACATTTGCTTTTTTGTAGTTTAAAAATCATCAAATCTCGGACATAAAAGGAAACTCATTATTCAATACAGATAGAGACATGTGCTGTGCAAAATAAAGGTCACGAAAAACTGAAAGCTAAAGCTTTCACTGCTAAAAAGTAAGTAAAAAAATGAGAAGCTGATTTTTAATTATGTAAATTAGGATTTAATTTCTAAAATTAGGTACCCTAAAGCCCCAAAGAAGGATATCAGAAATGTCAAAGAATAACATAAAAATCAAATATCATTAATGAAAGTAAATTAACAGTAATAAAAAATATTATGATATAAATGAAATTATTACTAAGTGATGAACTAAGTTAAATGAATAATAAACAGATAAACAGCAAATTAAATACATCATAAAAATAAGTTTGTAAGTTTAGTGTTCATAAGTAGCAGTAAATTTCACAGCTAGTTTCATAAGTAGCAGCTAGTTTTCACAGCTAGTTTCATAAGTAGCAGTAAATTTCACAGCCTTATAAACTTACACCTTTATCTCAAATTCTAACCCACTTAGCTCTTTTTAATGGAATGAGGACAGCCTATATGTATTCCATTTCATAATTAGGGTATATTAATAAAGCTAATTAATAGCTTATTTGGCTTGCTAAAAGATATATAACATAAATAATTGCAGCAAATGATGTTATTCAATTATGCAAAAATGTACTGAAGACCAGCTCATTCAGACCTTTCGAGCACTTCAACTGTAATTTCAGTTTCTTCAAAAAAAAAAAAAAAAAAAAATTACTAGGGCTGGACTCAGCTGATCTCTGGCTGAACTTAAATGCCATGAAATTTATTATCTCTCTTAGTAATCCCAAACTGCTCATAAATTTAATTAATATCTTTTCAACAAACATAAATACATAATCAATAAAAATACCTGACTAGAAAAACTCAACCAGGCTTTTGCATGAGGAAAATCATGAAGTAACTTCATGAGTGCTTCAGCTTCTTTCACAGCAGGCATTGTTTCAAATGCTAATAAATCTGCTCCAGCATCAAGCAAGCACTGGATACGAGGCAAATGCCATTTAATAAGCTCCTGTTAAAATTCAAAACAATACACTATTTCAAGATAACTATAAAATCATTTTGTGTTCTAAAAACTCGGTTAGAGTAGATTTAAGGGTGCTCCTTGAATTATCGCAAAGTTGTTGTTTCATTTACCGCCAAGTTGTTTCATTTATGGTAATCTAAATAGCTGAATATTATGAAAACCCTATTATGATGTAATTGGTTGTGTGATTGCGGTGAATTTGAATGATGAGAAAAGATTTGGAAGGGCTTGTGGTGTGTGTTGGTTAGGAAGTTCGTTGCCTGTTTTGTGGTTTAGATGGTAAAATGTCTGAATGTGGTAAGTTTAATTTGAAGTTTCTGTACAATTTGGAATGAAAGGGGAAAACAACATTAATTGACTGGTGTGTAAATGAAGGTTTACTTAGAAGCCATTATAAGTGTCTTGTTTGTAGAAAGGAAATGCATATGATCGAATGCCGGAGGATACAGGCACTACGGAGGATATTTTTTAATCTTATCTTTGTGAATTTATGTGGCGACTTCAGCATACAGATTCTAGTTCAGATAATTTTAGGAAGTTTTTGGAAGCTGTTAAGGAATTTTATTTGACTGAAGACAGGGAAATTTCTAAATAAGGTAAGTGGATATTTCCTTTGTGTAGTACTAAGATGAATTTCCCTTTTATCTTATTTGATTGTTTGATATAAAATGTAGTTTATTGAGATTATATATATTTTTGTTGTGCAATTAATTCTCTGATGTTTTTTAAGTGGAAATAGCTCGATGTGTTTTTGTGTGAAAATAGGATACCAAGTTTGTGTAATTCTTTGACTTGTTAAAATAACAAATCAAAGAAATGAACAAACTCGGTTTCCATGTACAGTCAAAAATCGCCAATTTTCGTCAAGAGGCACCTGTAAATATATTTTTACCAAAAGCTTTTGTAAACACAAAATAAAATTTAAATTCTAAAAATTATCTTATAAAATAAATTATCCTTACAATCATTTATTGCTAAAAACATGAAGCAAAAATTTTAATACAACTTCAGATAGATACAGATAACTTTATAACTCTCAACTAGATATATTACCAATCTGAAAAAAAAAAGCATGCATTCATGCCATTTCATATATATATATATATATATTTTTTTTTTTTTACATACTATGAAAATCCAGAAAATTATTTGAGTGTCTCTTATTTCTTTACTAATATAATGTGATAAATGGAAGATTTAAATATTTAAAATATACAATACAAAAAGGCATATCTCATCTTTACTGCCAAAGTAATCTGACTAAAGTCCACAAAATAAAATTAGAAATAATGCTCTGTGATCTTGGCTGATACAAAGTCAAAGCGAATGTATTATTTTCATATCCTCTACAGTGCACAAGTTCAAAAGATATTGATAATCCAGTTTTATGTCAAAATGTCCAATCTTAAAATTTTTAAGTTTGCTCTGATTCTTTCACCATGCAGATTTCAAACTTTTTACATAACACGACTATTTGCAAAGATACCTATACTAAGCTGGTGCTTCTCCTGATTGTCCTATATACTTCTGAGGAACCATGGATATTTTAAAATCTTCTCAGTCATGACAATTGGGCTTCACTAATAGTTTTACTGATCATTATTCAATTAGGATAAAATAACCAGCATATCTATAAAATTTTAGGACAAGTTACGGAAGTTACTTTTTTAAAATTTCAGCTTATGTAAAAAAAGCTAAGATCCTAAGAAGGCAGCCTCATCTCTGTTTACTATTACAAACCTTTTTTCTAGTATTACACACTTCTTAGCACATTTTTTTAAATTTCTGAACTGCTTCGCAGACACTCTTGGAATCTTATTTCCCTTTTAAATCTAATGGTTATAATTTTCTGAATTTCTAAAATGCTGTCACGATAGTATTAATTAAGGTATGGTTTCATACAAATTAGCCAATTTATTTATTTTCTAATAATTAAGACTCTTAAAAAATTATTTATGTTATCTGAAACACCATGCTAATATTTAAAGGAAATGTCTAGATTACAAATGAGGTTTGCCTGTTCTTTATCTCAGTACATCTAAACATCATAAAAAATATTTTAATATAGATTTCAAAGAAGAAAATGTTGTAAAATTTACTATTTTTATAACTAGGTTAAATAAAGGAAAAGGAAGTGAAGCTCTTTAAACAGGAAATAAGAAATTTAGAAAACAAATGAATATAACTTTATAATACTGATATTTCATCAAAGCTTTTAATAAAATGTAGTACATTTTTCAGAAGAAACATGTCATTACTCACTGTCCACTTTTTCTTATAAATAATTTAGAAGTAATATAGTAGAAAAAAATCAAATACCTGGAAATACATTATTTAAAAATCTTCTGCAGTAAATCTGAGTAAATGCAAAAGTGTTAAATCAATTAAAAGAATTTCTTCTATTAAATCTTGGAACAGAAGAAAATAAAATGCAGTTTTTACAAACAGCTTAACCCTTTTTTTTTTCTCACCTCATGAGATACTTTGTCACAATATTTCCCAGAATATTCTGATCCATCAGCCAAAGCAGCCCCATAAGGTCCAACTGATCCAGCAATCAATATCTCCTTGCACTCTAAAATAATTTCCCTTTTTTTAATCTGAAACGACTTTGAACAGAAATTCAAGACTTTAAATTGAAGGCAATTAAACACTAGTTTGAAAAATATTTAACCCAATAGTTTCTAAAATTGTATTAAATATAAAAGATAGTAGATAAATTTATGTTTATACAGTTTTAATTGCAATGATTTCCCCAGGAAAAATAAAATTGCTATGACCTATTAATAAAAAACAAATGCAGTGTTCCTGAGAAAATAACATGATTGCTAGAATTATAACTCTCTAATATGATATATACTTATGGGGCTTAATTTCTAAAATGAAAAATGCCAGAGCCCTATGAAAAGCAGTCTGTAAGCAAGAATAATAACAAGTAAAGAGAAAAATAAATAAAACAACAAATGAGGAGTAATAAAATAATAAAAATTAAATTAACCTAAAAATTTTTAAATGAATGAAATACTCAAACAAATAGAAAGTAAGTAAACAAAAATAAGACACTGAAACCAAAAATAAAAGAAAAATAAATATTTTGAATAGTGTTCTTGATGGTCAGATAAAATTATTTCTTTATTTTGATATTTGACGACCTTCTCAAGCAAACTAATGTAACTTATAAATATTCTAATACCTGGAGCAATCACATCTTGATATGAAGTACTGTATCTTTTGTATGTGCCCCAAATTCCCTACGTGCTTTGATCTTCCAAAGGAAAAGGGAACATATATTTAATAATTAATATTAATATCATTCTTATTAACAACTAAAAGAACTATTTTCTTCCTATTACAATTCAGTTTCATAATAAATTCATCTCATTCGGAATTCCAACCTGAACCAGCTGGAAATTAAAACCTATCTCAAAAACTAAATATTTCTGTATTTAGCTCCAGCTAAATTTTAGCTACATATATACAATGTATACCCATGCATATTATATACCTTCAACAAGAAATTTTTAACCTGTTCTAGAGAGAATTCATAAACATTTATATGTATGCGTGATAGTACAGTACAAAGTCTTTAATCCGGACTCGTCGGGACTTCGGCGATTCTGCATTAGGGGTTTTCACAGATTATAGATCATCAATTTAAATCTGGTAAAATGGCATGCAGAAATTATAAAATTAAAAATATGAAACCATAATTTATGAAATAAAGAGCAATTATGATCTAAAAGGTATCAAAATTTACAAAAAAAAAAAAAAAAAAAAAAAAAAAAAGCTTAATATTTATTTATTTACTTTATTAAACATTTCTTTCAATGCAAGTTATTTAAGTTGCTTCATTTTATGTGCTAATACTTTCTCTTTAATTCTATAAACAGACATCATTTCTTGTTCAGTTACAAAGTTCCACTGTTCAAGCCCTGTAATTGCTGTGTCGAGAATACCGACTAACTTGTCAATCGAAATTTTTTCGTTTTCACTAAGCTCTCTGTCCCTTTCTTCATCCTTTATCCATTTTTTTCAGCAATTCTACTTTTTGTTTGATGGACATCGAAACATGCTTTCACTTTGTGGATCCTTTGGCAGCTCCAGAATCGAAAATTCTTTTTGACATAATTGAAAGTTCAAGCTTACTTTTGTAATATTGCTCTAACAATCTGCAAAAAATAATAAGCCGGATACAATTAGAAGATTGAGGAACAATGCAATCTGCAACATTAATTGAAATAGATAATTAGATAATTTTAGCCTAGCTTATCCCGTCCGTTATACATTAAACACTACGCATGCACAGAAAGTTTGTACCTTTGAGGTCCAGATTATGGAAGTCCAGATTAAAGACTTATTGCTTTGTTTATTGGTACTGTATTTTTTTACAAAAGTATAAATTTAAGACTTAATATTTGGCAATATTAATAGTTTTCTTGAAATTGTAAAAGAGTTAAAGTAACTGGCTTCAGTAGAGTATGTTATGGTTTTAGGGATTGTGGTAGCACTTGCTGTGATAATGTTTTTTAATAAAAAAAAAATGTTAATGCATTGAGTTTCAATATTTCTTTTTGAAGTAGTATTATGTTGCTTAGGAAATATACCTTTCAGAAATTGCTAACAATTAGTACCAGAAAGCTAGCTGCCTCCTTCAAGTGATGAACTTTCATATGGAATATTGTTGTCCTTTAGGCTTAAGACTATCCTGATTTCTTTAACAGGTAAATTTCATTTATATTATAATTTGCAAATATAAATTAGAAGAGAAGAGAAATATGGTATATAATATGATAAATCTGACACACATAGAAAAATTAACTGATGATAATTATCTTACATGGACGATTAGAACCAAAAGTAAATTAAGAAGATTGAAAGTATAAAGAAATGCCATCGAAGCCAATTAACCACCAAAAACCATATAAAAGAAACGATGTTGATCATGGAAGTGAAATGAAAACTTAGGAGATGTGGGATGATAATTATGAAATAACAAGAAATATAATGAATCAAAACATGGTAGGCTCTACAAGCATTAAAATATGCAAATAAAAAGAATGCAAAAAAAAAAGAATGGGAGAAAATAAAAAAATGAAATGGCGGCAAAAACGGAAGATACTCAAATCAAATGTAGAATAGAAGTAGCTTAACTGAAAATGAAGCAAAATGAATCTGTTGATTACATGAATAGAGCTGTAATTCTGAACAATAAAAGTATTCAAGTGAGAGATGAAATAAAAGATAAAGAATTTTTAATTCATATAAGAAAGATTTTGGAATGAATTTGAATTTAATGCTAAAATTATTAAAGAAAAAAGAGAAAAGGCTACTATAGCTGCAATTAGAAGAGCATTAAAAGAAACTAAAGAAGAAAAAAATAAACAGACATGAAAAGAAAAAAAAAAAAAAAGTAGGTTCTAAATCACAAGAAAAACTGAACAGAATCAAAACATCATGAAAGAAGATGCTTTAACTGTGAAAAATTAGGATACTTAATAAAAAAATGTCATAACAATATTATAAAATTTTTTATTTGTGGAAAATTAGGTCACAGATCAACTGAATATAGAAAGAAAACTGAAGAAGAACATAGAAAATTAAGAAATTTAACAAATAAAACTACTAGAATGCCAAACAAGGGAAAAGAATATGAATCAGCTACATGTTTACAAGAAGTATTTAAGAAAATTGAAAAAACTCTTAATCAAGGTAGAAATGATAAAGAGAAGGAAACAAAATTAAATGGATTATAGATTCAGGAACACCACATCTCACATGGCAAGAAATAAAGAAATATTTACCATTTTTAAGGATGAAGAACAACAAATAATGACAGCTGAAAAGGGAGCTGAGATTAAATTTTTTAGTACTGGTAAAATAAAAATACAACCTGATAGATATAAGAATATTTTGAAAGTAGAAAATGTTGTGCAAGTACTAAATTTTTACTGTCAATAACAAAAATTGAAGATCATGATTTAAAAGTAAATTTTACCAAAACTAAAGCAGAAGTGATCAGTAAACATGGAAACATTCTGTATATAGCTAGCAGAAATGAAAATTAATTTGAAATTGAAAAAGGAAATATAATAGAAGCTAAAATTAGTAATGTTAATGATGTAATATGACATCACAGACAAGTCGTCTAAATAATGAAAGATGGATAGAAATGCAAAAAACTCATCAATCATTCGTGAAATGTAAAAATTTCCAAGACTAATAATGAAGTGAACCCTTTACATTAGGATAAATGACACAAACTTCTTACAAAAGCATGAAATTCAAGCAATCAGAAGACATTTTAGAATTATGGCACATAGATTTAATTGAACTGATCGAGAAGTAAATAGATGGAAATTGTTATTTTCTAACAGCAGTAGATGATTACAGTAACTTCACATTTGTGGTTATAATTGAGAAAAAGCATGAAACTGCAGAATCTTTAATAAAGCCTATCACTCAAGAAAAAAGAAAACAGGAAAGAAACTGAAGAGAATTAGCAGTGATAATGCACTGAATTCTTAGCTAAAAGTACAAACGAATATTTTGGAAAAATGGGAAGTAAACATGAACTTATAACACCGTACACTCCGAAGAACAATGGAAGAGCTGAGCACCTTAGTCATACTATAATTCAAACTATAAGAGCTATGTTGACTGATGCTGAATTGCCAATAAAATTTTGGATTGAAAGTGTTAAAATAGCTGTACATGTAAATAACAGAAGTCACAAAAATGACTAAAAGTTTACACCTTTTGAACTATATACAGGATGCAAGTTTAACATTATTTGTCTTAAAAGATTTGGATGTGAAGCATAATGTTCATATAAGACAAGAAAATGTGAAAAGATGAATTTAAAAGTTAAAAAAAAGAATTATGGTAGGCTGTAGGCTATAACATGCAGAGAAAAGCCTTCAATATTTATATTCCTGAGCTAAATAAAAGTCAAGAAGTAAGAGAGATAAAATTTAATAAGCAGAAAACTGGATCAGCTTTACTGAAAAGAATCAATTTAAAATTCAATAAAAATCAAATATTATAAGAATTTATTATTTTCTACAAGGCACAAACTAATGACAGTGAAAACATTTCAGGAGTAACTGACAGAGATCAGAGAAAAGATGATCAGATCAAGAATCTGAGGAAATTTTACCATCAATCCCAAATGATGAACACAATAAACATAGTTCATTAGAAATGGTCCCCTCAAGTAACTAAAGAACCAGGAAATGAAAGTCATGAAAATTCTGTACAGAAGAGACCAGCGAGGGTGACGAAGCCACTAGAAAAATTAAAAGATTAATTAGTATGCAAAGCAAATGAAGAAGTATCTGAGACATATGCTAAAGCTGTGGAATCTGCAGAAAATCAATTTTGGCAATTCGCAGTGACAGAACTGAGTTCAGTAGAGGCAAATGAAATCTGGAACTTAGTTGAATGACACATTGATAAGAAAGTTATTAAAAGCCATTGGATATTAATTAAAAATGAGGAAAAGAGTAATTTAAGAAAAAATTTACAAAGTAAGACTAGTAGCAACCGGATATAAACAAAGAAAAGCAATTGACTATAAGATGGATTTGGCCCAGTGATGAGACTTGCAACCTTTAGAACACTGTTAGGCCCATATCACACGACATTTGTTTCACTCGAACAACTGTTTCGGACAATTTTTTTCACTAGCTTACTATTGAAAGAAAGACGTGCGACTTTTTCCTTCCTTTCCAAAAAAATTGCAAGTTGTTCGTTTTCAACCAATCAGCTATCAGCTTCGAATGCTATCAGCTTGTTTAAATGGGAAACCAGTTTACCCTGTGTTAACCCCAAAGTGATCTATGGTGATTGGCTGTTGTGACAAAGCAGGAAAATTGTTCCAAACAGTTGTTCTTCTGAAACAAATTGCCGTGTGATAGCAGCCTTATCGATTGCAGTTTGCAAAAACTGCAAAATAAGATTTTTTGATACTAGAAACTGTATAGTTAACACCTACTTAAATAAACCAATTTACATGGAACAATCACCTGGATATATATCTCCTAACAAAGTACACTTTGTGAACAAAAGTATATATGGATTACTATATTAGTCAGGATGCTGAATTATGAAGAATTATGTAAGTTCTTAAGGAATTTCACAAGATTAAAATCAAATCAAGGCATTTATATTTCTAAAGATAAGCTCTCAACAATCTTATCATAGCAGCATATGTAGATAACTTAATGTAATTAGAAATTCAAATTCTGAAGTAAACCTTCATCTCTCAACTTTCTAAACCATTTGCCTTATGACAAGTCACTAAAACACAAATTTTTAGGAACAGACATTAGGCCAGAATCTGAAAAACTTATTCTCAGTCAAGAAAACTACATACCCAGAATTTTAAATAACATTGAAATGAATAAATGTAAACCTACCAAGACTCCAGGAATATTGGGTGAAAATCTTGATGATGTAGTGTCCTCTCTACCTGTTATGAAATGTCCAGCTGCGAAAAGATAACTTTCCCACAAAGCAAGTTTAGGATTGCCAGGAAATGACAAGGGAAGGCAGGGTTTCCATATTTGGCAAGAAATTGCCAATTAGTGATAAAATTGGAGATATGCCATAAACAGATGGAGAACATTCTGGAGCAAATTCTTATGGTTTGGCCAAGAATGTTCTGGAAGGCAGGCTGAAAGCTATATAAACCCTGTTGGTACATGCAGTAGGGAGTGTCTCATAGTGTATCAAGTTGATCGCGATTCTGTCAAATGTCTATATGCAAAAATAGGTCTCCTGCTTTAGAAATCAAACTTTTATATATTTCAGTATACACACTTCTTTACATTTTAATACTATATGAAACCAAAATTTACAAATAACTCCTCATGTGAAAATTATATTACAGTGCACAAAGTCTGCAGGAAATTGGGCATGTATTATAGACACAATGTATAAATAATAAATTTAATGTTAAATCACAAAACTAAGGAAATTATCTTGCAATTTACAATTATTAGTAGTGAGCTAATGATATTGCAAAAGTTGATAGCTAGACATTTTATTTATCAAATCATTCACATTCCCTTGCACATTTCCAGAGGAGATCTCAGAAGTGCTACCAATTTATTGAGCACTTCATTATACATTAAAAGCACAATACTAAACTATACATTTTATAATAATGCATTTCAAAATAAATTATATAAAACTTCTCTATCTAAAATCAATATATTTCTTCTTAAAATTCATACCTTTTAATAACATATAAATATATCTAACTGATGTAATTAATAATACATATTATTCATTGATTCATAATAGTACAACTAAGGGATAATTTTTCAGATTTATACACTAGTGTATATAATTAACATATTAATCATAATATGAAATATGCTTTTAATGCCATTCATTACATACTGGTTAAAAATAGTCACTTATGTGCTGCCTTATTTTTTTAAATTTATTTATTTATTCAATTATTATTATTTTTTTCTTTTTTGCATAAGAAACTGAATCTAATACTTAAAAAAATTAGAAGCAATTCTTTCACACAGATTTAAAATTAATTCTTGAAAATGTTTGAATCTTCTGGAGAAAAAAAAAAAAAAAAGAGGCAGAAGAATTACATCTAATATTGGAAAAAAACTCAGTTTTAATTAAGTTAAAAATTAAATTTTAACAATTATACAAAAAATAATAAAAGTTAATATAAATTCATATAATATCATTTGAATTTATAAACCAAAGATCATCACACTTAAAGTCAGAATATTTTTAAACTTCTAATATGTCTTTATTTTGAAATTTCTATTAATTTTTAAATCATTTTATAAGAAGAAAATGCAATTATTCATATAATTTCTGTATCAAACTAAGATTCAGCTATAATCAATTTTTAATTATTAACTATTTTAGTATATAAGGACTAATTTAATATAATATATAATGACTATTTTAATATGATATATAATGACTAACAAATCACAAAGTTTGATATATAGATATACCCTTAAATCAACAAGATCCAGAAAATGTCCGAAAGATAGGTCTGGGCTGCATAAGCAGTAATGTTAAAAACTATACATAAAACAAAGTAAATGACTATTGTTAGAAAAATTCAGATTCTCACATGAAATAGAAGGAACATGTATACTGAATAAAGTAATGAACCACATAATAAAAAACAAATAATTGGAAATTACTGTTACTTTTAATTTCAATGAATGGCAAATCTTAAGATAAACTAGTCAAAATTTGCTGCCTTAATAAGTTAATAAATTTTAACAAACCTGAAATAGATTCCTTTAAATGATCTTGTTTTGCATTCTCAGCTAATTCAACACTCAGTTTTATTAACCGCTTGCTCTCATCCAAATTCAAACCAAGATGCTTTTGAAAACCTCCTATGCTGGCTTGATAGCTAGCAGTTGTGATGATGTCAGCACCCCTTTCAAGGTAACTGTGATGAATTTTGAAAGCTATCAGAATAAATATTTTATAGCACAAGAAAAATGAGACTAAAATTAAATCAGCTATCATTGTTAATCAACTTACAAAATTAAAACCTTTGGAATCAAAACATATTCTTTATAGGGAAAAAATATGCTTTAAAGCTTTTAAGGAAACATCATAAAAATGCAAATACCAAGATATTTGGTTGAAAATATGAATTTAATTATTGCCATTAAAATATTATAAGCATTTATTACAAGGGGGCATTACATGCAACTACAAACAATAAACAAATACAGACACATATTTATAAGCAATCTTTTATACATATATGTACAAATTTTTAAACAGTTAATGTTGAGACCTTAATATTTCTATCAATTCAATTATTTGAAAGAAATGATGGTACATATTTGTAAAAGCACACCCAAATTAAATACAAATTAAAAATTAAAAAAAAGTATAACACAATAAGATACATATTTTTAATCTATTCAATGAATCGCCATACTTTTGATAAAATTAAATAGAACTGTTCACAATCTTATCAAAAATCAGATTATGGATAATTACATTGATAACAGAAGATCATTACACATTTTCTTTTAATGACAGAATACCCAAATTTTTCATAATAGTTTAGACATGAAAGTTTTAATTTATCACATTTTATGAATATATTTAAGCAAAATCTAAAACATCTTTCACAAAATAAGCAATTACATTTTTGCTAAACTGCATAAATTATATCTTATAAACTTACATAAATGATATTTAAATTATTGCACTTACCATATAACAGATTTTTACAATGACTGCAGGGGAGGAAGTATTAAGCAAAATGACAGCAATATAATAGAAAGTTGAAATAAATTTCATTCCCTACATGATAGCTTATCCTAAGTTGTGAAGCAGATCTAAATTCCATAAGAATTATTTAACTTTTACCTTAAAGCTAAAATTACTAGTTTCCAATTCAACTTCAAAATTAATTTTTTATAGCAACTAAGAACTTAATGAAATTAAAAATATATATATTAAATTCTTAATAGATAAAATGTCAAAGATCTTTTGATTATACCAAATTATGTGCATAAATGAAACTAATAACAGAAGAAATTAAATACAGAAGTTGGATTTGGATAGGACATGTATTAACTCTCCGAGCATTGCAGATTTGGCTCTAAAACCCTAATGTTCCCAAAAATGCCCTGAATAAGTGATATTTGCTTGATTATAATTCCATTATGAGCCTATCACTTTATACCATGACTCCAATAGATGTCCAACCCAAAATCGAATCCACAAGGAGTTGGTAGAAATTTTCATGTGTAATAAATTTGAAGATCATTCTTTGATGTGGAAGTTTATGGCAATAACTCTAGGAGCATTAAAAATACCAACCATAAAACATCAAAAACAGAGCCAGATTTAGACTTGATAAGGCCCTAAGCTATTTGAAATATGGGGTCCTTTATAAGTCTGTTATAATATATTTTAATACTATTTATACTATACAGTCAAAAGTCATTAATTCGGATACCCATAATCCGGACCTCAAAGCTACAAACTTTCTGTGCATGTGTCGCGTTGACGAATGCGCGTAAGACCTTTACGCTGAGCATATTATGTTTACGCATGCGCGTTTATTGTAGAACGGATGGTATAAGCTAAAATTATCAAATTATCTATTTCAGTAAATGTTGCAGATTGCATTGTTCCTTAATCTTCGAATTGGATCCGGCTTATTTTTTGCAGACTGTAGCTTATACATAAATCCGGCCCTGATCAAAAATTAACATTTAGATAGGTCAAAAACTGAAAATGACTTAAACTAATTTGCAAGAGAAGGGCAAAAGAATAGAAAAAAAGTTAGATGACATAACAAAAGACATGCAAGGGGCATAGAATGTTTGGGATGTAGGATACTACTAGAGTTCTTATGTGCTAATTTGACAATAAGAGATTAATGATTATAATGTGAAACTTATTCGACTGCTATTATTTTTAAGCACACTTTCAAATGCATACATATGTTTTCACATTTAATATCAAGTATATGACTGCTTTATTTTTGTGTATTTTTTTAGTTAGCTAATGGATTTTTATGCTGTTAAATTTATAAAATGAATAGTAATGAAATACAAATCATGAGCAGATGTGTGAGCTCTCTATGAACTATAATATTTAGAAAATACAAAAATTAAATAATATCAATAAGAAGTTTTGTATTGGTTATTAAAAATATTAGAGAAAATATCCTAAATATAAACTCTCTAGGAAATGTAGATCTAAATGTATATCTTCATGTAGAGAGTTAAAAAGCAGGGTTGGAAAGTGCCATTCACAGAGGGAATAAAGAAAACATGACAACATAAAAAATAAATAAATAAAAAAAAAATTTAAATGGTTACAAGAACTATTTTATTAATATTTTATTCATATATTAATTTAAATATTTCCAAGATAGTGCAAAATTTTTTTTGTATATATGTGATCTAAGAATGTTTCCAGGTAAATGACCATGCTTAGCAAGTTATTCCAAAAAATTTCTGCATCAACTTTAATCACCATTCATAAAATTTATGTTGTCATATAATTCTAATGTTTTACACAATTTATCATATCTGTCTTGTACATCAGCTGATATTATCAGCAAATTTTTCCCACCATCAATCAGATACTATCTTATGGAATGTTTCATTTTCTCATAGATGCTAAAGAATTAGTGGTTTTGTACATGTCTCTGTTCATGATGTAACCTTATAGAAGAACTTTTTGTTTCTGAGCAGTACTCCCATTTGTAAGCAACCAACTCAATAGTCCTCATTTTTATATGAAAATCACATTATACTGAATGATTGCAAAAAAAAAAATATTAATATGTGGCTTTTGACTTAAAATGAAACAAATTGCTATGCTGCATATAAGTCTCTAAAATGAAATGGTAATATTTACAGACATTTATTCAGTATTAAACAAATATTAATATTTAGTCTTCTCTACTTCCATTAAAACTTCCCACTAAAATTAAAACATAGAATTTCAAATTAACCTAAAATAAATAATAATAAATTTATGCCTATCAAAATGAAATAGGTCAGAGTTAAAATGTTTAACATGAATATGTTATTAATATATCTGAATTATCATACACAAAGTATTAGATAGAATTTAATGTGGTCACCTTTTATGGACATCTTTAATTGCTTCAGGATTTGTATGAAGAACAGTAGCACTCCATAAAGGATCATGCTGAAAAAATAAAAGACATGTTAAGTGATAAATAAAAACTAAATTAAATATATAATATAGACAGTTCAAAAGCAGGGTTGGGAAGTGTTTCATTCACATGGAGAAAACAAGGCAACATTAAAAAAAAAAAAAAAAAAAAAAAAAAAATTAAAAAAATAGACATAAAATTTAGACATGGAAAATCATGGTTAGAACTATTTTATTTACATTTTATTCATATATTAAACATTTTATTGCTAATTTAAATATTTTCATCTTCTATATAATTTTAAGAAGCTTTATTTCATGCTTTCAATAACCTTTTTTTTTTTTTTTTTTTGGTGATATATCAGTAATAAAAATTAAAAAATAAAAAAAAAATAATAAAAAAAAAAAACTATTTATAGTAACAACAAAAAAAATTAAATTTCAAAACTGAATCTACATCATTATAAAATGAGTCTTACAAAACAGAACACGTTTTTGCTATTGCATATATATTTATATATAACCTATTTTGAAATTTTGGTGATGAATGGATAAGTTCAAAAAAGAAGAAAATTTCCTCTAATCTCACTGAATTTACAGCTGCATTACACAGCTCCCATGGAATTTCAGAAATGACATATTCCTTTCTACCATCCAAGATTTCATACACAGGAAACAGCAACAGGCTAAAATAAAATTTTAGAAATGGTGTATTTTCAGCAGCTTTAGTAAGTTTCCTAGGTGGCAGACAAAATTATCCTAAAGAATTTTTTTAATACTTTTATGATATTTTTTTACTTAGTAATTATATTTTACTTATATTTAATATTTATATATAACACTACTATGTAAACTAATCAGTTTAAATGTTTTCATTAGATGTATATTTAACTTCGTTTGTATGGCTATTTATTATTTTCTTTGTAGAGGTGCATATATCACATATGTATGTACATTTTGTACTTGCTGCAAGATCTATTTTGACATCTGCGAGTTTGGAATCTGGAAGCTAAATTTTATTTCCCAACAGCAATAAAAATAGAAAATTTAATATTTTCAGAAAGAGCAGAAAACAAAAATTAAAGTAATTATTAAAAAACTGAATATCCATCATCATTAAGAAAGTGTAACATACTGTGCATTCAAATAAGCATTCCACCATACTTTTTCCTAGATTTTTTAGAGAAGGTTATTTAATTACTTTACATTTTATTGCATTTAATTAAACAAAGATAAGTTTTTGCCATAAAATCATGAATTGTTACTAAAAATATTCTTAACATAATATATTCTTAACCTAAATAAAAAATAAAATAAATAAAATAACCTCAACATATTTAAAGAAAGCATTTTTTAAGTCAAAAAGTAAAATCAAAATTAACTATAATGTCAAAAGAGGTATTTAAAAAGAAATAAACAACAGGTTTGACAAACCAGAAAAGAGAAACCATTCCTTTCCAATTCTGTAGAAAAACCTCCGTCTAAAACAGTGATACATTTTTTGATACATTCATTCCACATCCCTGCAGATGAACTAAAAGATACGACCAAAAGAATGCATGAAACAGACTTAAAAGTGTCAAAATAAAATATCAATAAAATATGTAGCAATGCAGCAAACACTTATAATTTCAGATAAGTAAGTTGTGAAACCTTAACACTTTTGCAAAAATTAAACATATCCTTTAAACAGAAGCTTTTAAAAAAAAAAAAAAACAGGATGCTTAATTTTAAAATCATCTGATATATTTATCATAATTTTGTTTGAACTTGGGATGATAACAATAATAATTTCATGAAGTTATGATAAAGATATCAAGTGACAATTTTTCTTATAGATAATGTTACTTTAGAAACCAGAAGCACAGAATTTCACAAAAATAACATATACATTTTGAATGCTTATGAATACATTGTTTATTCAGGTATATTTAAATTTTATAAGCCAAATTAAAGAAAACACCTTCATAAATCATTGCATGTAAACCTTCATAAATCATTGCATGTGCTTAAACCAATCACACTTTTGGTTCAAGAGCTGCTGATAACGCATACGAGTAGAATCGCAAATACCACAGTGATTTTGTTTGGTATTCGAGTACATTCTTTTTGAATGGCTACTTTCAGTTCATTGACTATCATCAGTTTTATACCACAAATCCATCTCTCATACATTCCTATTAAGCTTCATTAGCATGAGCTATTTGGTGCAAGTGGTATGCATTCAATGCTACTCTTATTCTAATCTCTAGCAGACTTTTATAAAAACAGGCCCCTAACTTCCTGAAGATTGTAGAAAATGTAGCAATAAAAATCACTTTTCTCTAACAAGGAAATGAAAAAATGAATTTGGTTACTATAGACTAATGAAGATGAGAAGAATGGTACAGCGCACTACAAACATCTTTGTATCAGCCAATGCATATCATCCTTTTGGTTCTGAAACTTCTGACAACACAAACTAGTAGAATCGTAAATATCACCAATGATTTTCTTTGGTACTCAAGATTTTCAGAGCAGTAGAAGGTAAGCACCAGTTGAGGCTATCAATGTCTCTGACTCTCTTTCAAGTTGTATGGGAATTAATTTGGCTTTAGCTTGAAGTGAGTTCAGATGTGGTCGTAAGGTGCTTATTATTGTATGTGCAATACACTCCCAAAAGTTTACACTTGAATAAACATTTTTGCACGTGACATGCAAAAACAGATACTCCTAGAGAAGTGTGTAGACAATCCATAGAAAAATTCCCTGGTATTCTGGTTCCTCATAAGAATACATTCAGAAATCTTAGATTAAGAGAAACTGGGTCATTCAATGACAAAGTTCATAAAGGGAAAAAAAAGGAGTTTTAACAGAAAAGAAAGTTATTGAAATTGGAGAACCATTACAGCATTACATTTGAAACATGAAAAGATACCAGAAATGCCTGCAAATAAATGGACACCATTTTGAAAAGCTCCTATAATACAGAAGATTACTCATTACATCATAGAAATAAATAAAATGATGTGCCTGATTTTATTAATCAAAGTTTAAGAAAATTGAATTGAACACATATTGGCTACATGCTGCTGCCTGGCACAAAGATGTTTGAAACACTCTGTAGATGCACAACAAAGACAAATTTAACACAGAAGTGTAAGTATCCAAAGCAGGGATACAGCTAGAGCTTTTCCGTATCTATCCTCAATGCAAGCAAAAAAAAAAAATCAAATCAAATCTATAAAATAATAAAACAACATAAAGTGAAATAAATAAAAGCTTTATGTTAACTTTAAAAATAAAACTTTAACCATTTTAAAGTGCTATTTTGTTTGCTTTTCTGTAAGCAAAATCATTGATGACATTCTAGAAGTTTATTTCATTACTCCAGTTGCCTTTTCTTGACAGAACAGTATTTAATATGAGATACTCACTTTTAGGTTTTAAGTGCTTCTTCACAGATCTAGAAATGTTCCTTTTATAACAAATAATACTTTCTGCAGTTTTGAGGAAAATGAAGCAAAACTACATTATGCAGAATTTAATTTCAAAAACTGTATTTTAAGAATAAATTGTAAACATCTAAAGCAACTGGCCTTCCATCTTTCAGTTTCATCTTCCCAAGCAGTTCCCAATAACACTCTGGAAGACTTTTCTATCAGTGAGCAACGTTTCCTTATTTATGTTATTAGGGCCATTCAATTGTCCTTCATATTTTTCATTCAAATGTTTCAGTTGAAGTAAGGCATAGTTAGAATATATTCTTTGGAACTGAAAAATATGATCTCTGATATACACTCTTTTGTAAAAAAATCAAAGCACCAAGAAAGATCTTTGAGATCATGATGAAATTTGGTATGCAAAAACATCTTGATCGAACATGCAAATGTTCAAAGTTTCGAGGCAAATGAATAGGAGTTGCGATTACAGTGTGCATTTTTAGTGCGCAATTTGCAAAGTATAAAACCAGTAATAGAGGCGGAAAAGTTATCTTTTTTGTTGCTGCCATTGTAATTCCATAAAGAAGCAACTAAAGATTCCATTACGACAATATCGAAGATCTTACAGACAACTAAATAACTTCGACCGTGGTCGCATTGTAGAGGTGCATGAAGCTGGGTGGTCATACTGAGCAATAGGCTGCCACCTGCAGTGTACAGACACTGCTGTGGAAAGATATTGGCAGCAATGGTTGCCACAAGGAAATTGCCAACGAAATGAAAGCTCTGGATGAAACGAAGGCTCTGGATCACAAATGCGACACAAAATAGGATGATTGTTCACCAGGCCATGAACTGTCCCAACGGTATCATTGTCAACTATTCAATGCACTACGGCCACGTCTATAACCTCTTATGGTACCATCCCCCATCTCATGGCTATCGTCATCGTCATCTGGCTGAGGTGTGGTTACGCTCACAGAGGCCTTTAAGATGTTTTCCTTTGACCTCACAATATTGGCAGAGTTGTCTGGAATGGTGTCACAGCCGATCATCATGGCTGCCATCAGACTGACATTGTATGGTGTTCAGCAATGAATCCCGCTTCACTCTTAAAGCAGATAACCACTGTGTTCGTGCCTGGAGAAGACCAGGCCAGCAGTCCCAATCAACCTTTGTTTTAAAAAGGCATACAGCCAATAACCCCTGGTGTGATGGTGGGGTGCCATTTCTTATGACAGTAGGTCATCTTTAATCATCCTCCATACATCTTCAACAGCTCAATGATATGTTGATACCATCCTGCAGCCGGTAGCATTATCCTTCATGGCACGTCCTCCTGAGGCCATTTTCTAACAAGATAATGCCGCGCCACATACTGCTCACATATCTATGGACTGTCTCTGTGTGGTTGATACTCTTCCTTAGCCAGCAAGGTTACCAGACCTTTCACCAATTGAGCATGTCTTGGACCTGGATCGACAACTGATGAATGCCTGACAGAATGTGTCGCAGGATGACATTAGGAACCTCTATCACTCCTTGCCTCTACGAATTCAAGTATGCATTGCTACCAGGGGCAGTTTGACCAATTACTAATTTGAACACTGAATGGGTGATTGTGAGCTATGAACAGGTACTATGACCTTGATTTTTTAATAATTTTTTTATCTGAGTATGAGCTATACACATATTCAATCTCATCAAAAATAACGACTTCCTTCATGGTGCTTCGATTTTTTTGCAAAAGAGTGTATACATATATATATTACACACAATATATATGTAATAAAAGCAAATTTCAGAGAAGTACTGATGTAGAAACGGAGACATAGAAGCATAGAAATGCTGACTGCAAAGATGCTTAGAACATAGAATTCGTAAAGACTAAGAAACTTGGCAGTCAAGGTAGTTTTAATTCCATTTTTATTTCCAGATGACATTTGTTGCCACAATCACTTGACACTCTAGTCGTGCCTATTCGCAGAACATTTACATTTTTTATACTTTTGCAATAGGAAGCGAGCACAGAGAAATTACATTCTAGTAGCATAAGAGAGAGATGCTAAAGTGCATAGTTATCCAATATGGAAGCTCACGAAAAGGAAGGTTTGAGTTTGAGTTAGAAAAGTATCAGTTCTCAGAGTTTAGGTTCCCAATTACTATGCCATCAGCATTATGGAAGCTTCATTGTACAAACTAATCTAAAAATGACACAGTCCAGAAATGTAATTATTTTCAGAATGAAGATGGGAGTTAAAGGGTTATTATTAATTTATTATTTGAAAAATAGATATTTTATATTATATATATATATATATACACACACACATACACATATATATGTGTGTGTGTGATATAAAATATGTATTTCAAAATTATTAATCTTAATTTAGTACTGATCCAGAATTTAAATAAAGAAATCAAGTATTTAAGTATCACTGATACTAATGTGCAGTCTTTTTTCCAGTGTTGCCTTGCTGGTACCCATGCATAGTTTGTTTTCTGCTCCATATTTTGTCTAAGAACATGTAAGCTTTACAGAATTGTGGGATGCATCTTGCACTGATAAATGATGCTGTGTGAATCTATTTATGTGCATCAAGTCTTGCTCTGTTATGAAAATAATGTATTTAAATCAACAGCCATGCCTGAAAGATTTTGGGCTCCATTCTCTGATTTTAATTATCCATGCAGCTGTTTTACGAATTCTCAAGTCATCTACCGAATTATTAGATATATATGTGTTACATATATATATGTTACGGTAAAACATCGAAATCTGGAGAAATATCGACTTTTACTAGTGAATGTCAACATTCACATAGTCGCTTGGTGTATGTCCGAAATATTTTCCAAATCCTTTTATTTCTGACTTACAAGGTAAATGTAGACATTCACCATGCCCTAATGGTGAATGTTGAACATATAAGAATATATGTTATATATTATATATTCTTCTCCGTAATTCAGTCACAAAAAAACGCACTTGAGACTTAAAATAAAGAACTTAAGAACATAAGAACTTAAAACACACACTACATTCAAAATGAGAAAGGAAAATAATAGAAGTTAAAAACTTACTAAATTATGTGATTCAAATCTTATTTATTTCAACAACTTAAACTATTATGACACTTTGAATTGCACAAGAGGCCCTTGCTTTTAAAACTGCATTTATTTGTGGAACACTTCCTTTAGCAATGACAGCGTGTACATATACTCCTCTCTTTTCGACCTACACCACAGCATATCTGTGATTGTCGACATACACTGGTGAAGGTCCGAATGTACAAGAATGTAATGAAATATTCGATCTTTCACTCAAGTATTTAGTGAATGTTGACATTCTCCAGTGAAAGTCGACGTTCTCCAATTTTGGTCTTTTACGGTAACATATATATAGAGAGAGAGATAGAGAAGAGAATGATACTTATTAAAAATGGTGCGAGGAAAGAAAAACACATAAATCTGAAGAGCAACCTGAAAGGTGAGAATACATCTTAGTTTCCCAATGACAATTTTCATCCGCATATCTGATAGAATGGTTTGAAACACACATGTAGACATTCGTAGTCATGAGTTTTCCAGTAAGACAAGAGTAATGGATGTGTTTGAATGGTTGCATTTCACTTTGTTAAAGCCTAACTCACTATGTTATGGCTAAATGTAACTAAAGATGCATTAAAAAGTTCAAAGAACAGATTAGTATTATTTTCCCTTTTTCATGCAGATATGAGGTCGTAACTATGCTAGAAAATTTTAAATTAGCTTTAAATTTAGCAACTAAAAATAGGTTTAGTTTTGCCCTCAGTATGCATTATGTTGATAAAAAAGAAAAAAAAAAAAAAAAAAAAAACAGGGGCAAGCATCAGTACCACCTTGCCTTCAGTTTAGAATGAATTAAAACTTTTAATACTAATTCATTTAAATTAATGCTCATTGAATGCAACTTTAAACTTTAAAAAAATAAATTTTAAAAAAATAAACTATTTTAGTAATATGAATGAATATTGATTAACTGAATGTTTCAAGACTTTCATATCATAACTAATCATATGTAACTTTTAATGCAATGTATTTCAAATAACACATTTTTCACCATTTTGAAAAAAAGTCTCATAATTGCACATAAATATTTATTTATTTATTATTTCAAAACTTAATGGTCTCAAAATTCACTCTATAGTAATAAATACTAATTTAACAAAGTTTAACAACAAAACTTACAATTATTTAATGCAATTCTCAATGTCCAAAAACTAAAAATTCGTTTCTAAAAACAACCTATCAAAAAAACAAGTTAGAATTTTAAAGCATCTAAAAAATACTAGAAAGCATCTCATATTAATAAAAATATTAAGTAATGTAAGCAGAATATAAAATTCATATTTTTACTATAAGCCATCTTTCATAGGTTTATTTTTAAATCGAATTAGACTTCCTCAAGGAACACAAGGAAAGGAGTAAGCTTTTCAGAATGTCATATTTTATGCAGCATGCTAATAATTTAGGCTTATTAATTTAATTATTAATAATCTATAAATGAAAGTATAAACTACAGGACAACCTATTAAAGACTACCGTATCAAATTATACTTAAATTAGTCTGATAATTTTTAATAAATTTTTAAAAGAAATCAAGAAGTACAAAAATGTGTCTCTCAAAATTCTCTATTTTAATTTTTAGTAGTATATGCAGCCTCATTTGCACAATCACATCAGCAAATAGAATTTAAAATATACTTTAAAAACATTTCATATTAATCATATCTAAATAAAAGTTTTTAAAACTACAGAAAATAAATCTCTGAAAAGTTACTAAAATACGTATTCCTTGACCGAGTCTCGTCAGTATCAAAAGCCAAAAATCGAAACACAGTAGCAGACACTAATTTAGTTTATTGCCAAATCCTATTCAGGTATTTTATCATTAATTTATTTTTCAGTAAAATTAGAAATTAAAAAGTAAAAGAAATTTTACTTCATCAATGCTATGATTTTTGCCGATTAGTAAAACTGACTAATTAAGACATAATAAATTTATTGTTAATTTTAAATGCTTGATTAATCTTTTCTGAATATTGATAAACGTTAAAGTACGTGGCAACATCTTTTGTAGCAACGCATGTTGCGCGTAAACAAACCGCTGACGGGAGGGTTGCATATCTAGTTGAAATGTTTTCGCTTTTAATTGTGATTTGTATACTCCCTAAACGTAGCTATAATTTTCAAATTTTAGCATTGCTTCATTAATTATTTAGCCAACTTTTCTGGATCTCTCGTTTATGCGTTTCTTTTAGTGCAATATTTATCTGATTAATTTCTGATCTTTGCCCTCTTTTATCAGTGTTGGGTGCAAAACGGAAATAAAAAGTGTTTGAAAGAGTAAAATTGATAGAGAAATTGCAAGATTTATTTTTGTACTAATAATTCTTCTTTCTGTGTTGTTCAGATTGTCATGCGTCTATGACGTGAAACGTAAGAATAAATTTTTTTATTTTTTACTTTTGTAATTTTTTTAATTGAAATAAATACCATTAATATGCACACAATTTAACCGTAATGCATTCAGTATTTATATGTTTCAAAATTGTTATGTAGCACTGTGTTTTCCACCAGTACAAGCACATTTTAAGACAGGTAATCTTACGAGTGTATTTTTTTTTTTTTTTTTTTTTATCAAAATTTCACTTTTAAATTGGGCAAAACCAAGGAATATCTGAAATATAAATGCGCTTCCATAATTGTATATAATTATAAGAAAGGAATACTTTTTAATGTGCTATATGTTTTTGATGTGTTAAGTATTATTAAATGGTATAATGATTAGCTTTATTTGAAAAACAAAAATATGTTTACTGTGTTTTTATCGTATAGATTCTTTTAGATTTGTCTTTTACTTTAATGTTTCAGTCATTCAATCTACATTATTCAAATAATGTATTTTAACAGTTTATTATACTGGTGTTCTCTCAAGAACTTTTTACTTTTGTGGTGTACTTCTGTAATTTACCTTACATTGCATGTGATGTTTTTACTATTTATACATCAAATCAAGTTTTATTATGAAAAAAATTACTTCATTTTTTATTTTAGATTGGAGTACAAATTATCATGGCAAAAATCAGACAACTTGTACTCCTTATTTGGAAAAACTTTAAATTGCAGTTTCGTCATCCTTGGGTTACACTTTTGGAATTAGGAGTTCCTGCATTTTTCTCACTGTGTTTAGTTTTTATACGTTCTGTCATCACCTCAGAATATGTTTCTGATCCGATTATTTATGAGCCATTCAGTATTGCATCACTGCCACAAAATCTGACTATTCCTGGGCATAAAAGGTGGTTAGTACTTTATGCACCTGATGCTGATTTTATTACTAAAGTTATGGAAGATATTGCTGTGGATTTGGATGTTAGAACAGCAGGTATTCTGTCTTAAATATTTACTTTTCTATTCCTCTCTCTCTCTCTAAATATCACATTTTGAAAATTATTGGAAATATGATATATTATTTCCAGAACCAAGAGAAATGTTTTGAAAATTAATAATAAATATAATAAAACTATAACAAATTTTCTTTTATTTTTATGAAATATTTATTATTCTGATTTCATTAAGAATCATACTATGTATAGTTAGAAAATAGCTAATTGGAATAAGAATATTTTTTATTTGTGAAATGGAGTAAAAACAACTTGTGATTGAGGTACTCTTAACTGTGACAATAAAACTAGACTTAATTCAATAATATTTAAATCAGATTTCATTAAACTGTATATACTGTTATACCATATTAGTACCTCTTGAAGAATGTGGTCTTTGATATTATCAATAAAAACTGTTATTTTGAAATCAAAATATTTCTGTCTAAAAATAACAAATTTATAATATCCTAAGTTTAGTTTCATTTGGTAATTTTTGATTAGCTACATTGGCATCACAAGCTTGTTGGTGGCTTTGTACAGCAGTTGTGGACTCCTTTAGAACTAATATTTTGCCAGTCTAATGTGTGAAAGGTAAGTGCCATTGCTAGACTGATGGCACACTAAGAATTCCATACAAAAGCAATCAATCATTTGAAAAAAGAAAATGACATCAGTAGTAAAGCACTTACCTTTTTAGAGAATTTCCTTTCATTTTATATTGTTATTCTTTCCATATATACTGCAGTCTGAGTTTGCTTATCAAAAAAAAAGAAAGAATTGGAGAATTGCATTAATTCAGTCCCTGTGCACTTAGGCATTGCACCAGCCAAAAGGAAACATGCTTGCCTGGGTTGCCATATAACCATTTTGGCAACATTCTACTTTGCCTCACGAATACGTTTTCGTGATCTTTCAGTAGGAACCAAATAATCAGAAAGTACTATTTTTTAGCATAGTTATATTTCCTATATTTTATGTTTAAAATATGAAAAAATATTTGATAATGAAACCTTCCATTAAAAATTATTTTCATAGCTAAACTCAGTTATGTATGTTTGTTTTAACAATTGCCTTTTCATGAAAAACTCAAACAAACACAGGGTCAAATCTTGGAATTTTATGCACCATCCCCATGAATTTAAATAATTTCTAACTTTTGTTGTAAATTCAATAATTTATACTTGTTTGGTTTATCACAACTAGTATCAGACTTTCATTTCTCATTCATTATAAAAAGGTTTAGGAAAGAATTATAAATAAAAATTAAAAAAATAATAATAATAATGAATCAAATGGCATGAATCAGATGGCGAGAATGACAAATGATAATACAATATAGCTGTTGTAGAGACTTAGGGTAAGTTTGCTTGAGTCTGCCATATCTCTCAGCAAATGTGTATGACCAATTAGCACCATTCATTTTGGCAGACCTTATTTTAGTGGGAACATTTAGGCTGTATTATTTTGATGCAAAATCTTTTTTAACCACGCAATAATGAATTAATCCGTATTGAGTGAAAAGCTTATTACTCAAATAACTAACTGTACTGTCACGGGGTCAGCACCTAGTGAAGACTTACTAGGCAAGGTATTCCTGTATACTACAGTCAAAAGTCCTTAATTCGGACACCCATAATCCGGACCTCAAAGTTACAAACTTTCTGCTCATGCGTCGTGTTGGCGCATGCTCATAGGCGTTTACGCATGCGCGTAAGACCTTTACGGCTGCGCATATGCACGTGCGCATGCGCATAATACATTTACACATGCGCGTTTAATGTATAACGGACGGTATAAGCTGAAATTATCTAATTATTTCTGTTAATGTTGCAGATTGCGTTAGTCCTTAATCTTCGAATTGGATCCGGCTTATTATTTTTTGCAGACTGTTAGAGCAATTTTATAAAAGTAAGCTTAACCTTTCGATTATGTCAAATAGAATTTCCGATGCTGGAGCTCCCAAAGGATCTATAAAGTGAAAGTATGTTTCGATGACCATCAAACAAAAAGTGGAATTGCTGCAAAAAATGGATAAAGGCATATCCTTTGTTTCTCTAACCATTCCAAAATCAGTTTTATCAATTTCATGCTGCTCTGTGGCAGGGTCGGGGATGCCGCGGCACACAATGAAGTTGATCTGTCAGCACTATCCTTATCTTCAGGGCAGATGTTTTTATTTTATTTGGCTTATAATTCCTTACTAAATGTAGTATTTCATCTTGGTGTACTCCGTCTTTGATATGATTTAAATCAAATTCCTCATCATTATAATTCGCTTCTGATAGTGAAGAAAGTGACACAGAGGTTATTAAAAAAATTTTTTTGATTGACAAATTAGTTGGTATTCTCGACACAGCAATTATAGGACTTACACAGCGGAACTTTGTAACTGAACAAGAAATTATGTCTGTTTATAGAATTAAAGAGAAAGTATTATCACATAAAAACGAAGCAACTTAAACAACTTACATTGAAAGAAATGTTTAATAAAGTAAACAAATAAATATTAAGCTTTTTTTTTTTTTTTTTTTTTTTTTTTTTTTTTTTTTTTGTAAATTTTGATACCCTTTAGATCATAATTGTTCTTTATTTCATAAATTACGGTTTCATATTTTTAATTTTGTAATTTCTGCATGCCATCTTACCAGATTTAAACTGATGATCTATAATCCGGAATCGCCGAAGTCCCGACGAGTCCGGATTAACGACTTTTGACTGTATATATATATGTGTGTGTGTGTGGAAGAGTGATGATTTGAGAATGACACAGATGGATGTTGAAGCATACATAGTAGATCCAGAATGAAGAAGTCATATTGATGCAATAAGATGCAGTTGTATCAGATTTAAATCATATTTCTTTTATTGTAATTAAACATTTTGTGGCTGCAAATACTTGGCACGTTAATCATGCCTATTCCAGAACAGTAACACTTTTGATTTTGTGGCAATAGGAAGAAAAGCAGCAAGCAGAATCTTAAGGAGGTAGAAGCAAAGTGCTTTATGTTCTGAATGAATTAGTTTCAATTTCAATGTATTTGATTGGATAATTAACAATGCTGCAAAATTATTATTGGCTATTTGAGTTTTAACTCATTTATGTCATTGTTATTTGAAAGTTTTTTTATATGGATTAGCCTCTAAATGATGCAGTTCAGAAAAAATTATTATTATTTCTAGAATGGAGTGAGGAAATACTCAAATTAAAATTTACCATTAAGGGCTATTGCTAATTCAAAACTGGCTCATGTCACTGGCTATTCTGAGGACATTTCAAAGCCAAGTCAGTCTCATTTCTATGAAATATGTGAAACCACCTCTCTTTCATTTCATACTCCTCTTAAATATACCCTGCACGGCTAGTGTTTCCACATTTTGTTCATTCCCAGAAGGAAAATTTTTTCGTGTTAAGAGGGAAAAAATGCTTGAAAATACAGTATAGTTGTTTTTCAGGACCATTGTATTATTGCGTGTTAACTGATATTTCATCTTGAGCATTTTTGCATTAAACATATTTCACTGTATATATGTGTGTGCGTGTATATATAAATTCTAACTGTATATACATCTTTAAATACCTTAAACAGAAGAGATTAATTTTTGGGCAGTTTTTTAATTGCAATTTGTATTTTTAGTCTCATGTGCTGTTATTTTAAAGATTTTCTTTAAACACTTCCATTTTCAATTTGTACCCTTCATCGTGTTTACTTGTTTTTCGTAACCATTTCCCAGAGATAGAAATAGGTAGACCCTTATATTTTTTTTAACTAAATTTATATTTGTGTTCTAACCTTTAACCTCGTTTTCAATTTAAATATCTTATATAAGACATAGAGCTATTCATTCCTTAAGGTAGTAAAATACGGAAATTTTGTATTGTGATAGATTAGTGTAATGGTCTAAAATGCTAAATCCAGTTGATCTTGAAACATCTTAGATAACATTCTAATTTATTAGAGAGAAATACATTATCCATAATTTATTTTTGTGTGTAGTCTATAGAAAGGAGTTTCATATGTTGGTAAAGTGAAGCTATTTTGTAATTTTTTTCAAAGTAGCTGTGTTCATTACTAATATGCAGGTTGAGCAGAAAACATGGCTATATGTTTAATCCTCCTATATGATGGTGGTACAGTCAAAAGTGTTTAATCCGGACTCGTCGGGACTTCGGTGATTCCGGATTATCGGTTTTTCCGGATTATAGATCATCAGTTTAAATCTGGTAAGATGGCATGCAGAAATTAAAAAATTAAAAATATGAAACGGTAATTTATGAAATAAAGAGCAATTATGATCTAAAGGGTATCAAAATTTACAAAAAAAAAAGCTTAATATTTATTTGGTTACTTTATTAAAATTTCTTTCAATGTAAGTTGTTTAAGTTACTTCGTTTTATGTGCTAATACTTTACTATACACACTACATATTCTTTTAATTCTATAAACAGACATAATTTCTTGTTCAGTTACAAAGTTCCGCTGTTCAAGTCTTATAATTGCTGTGTCGAGAATACTGACTAATTTGTCAATCGAATTTTTTTTTTTTTTTCAATAACCTCTGTTTCACTTTCTTCACTATCGGAAGCAAATTATAATGATGAGGAATTTGATTTAAATCATATCAAAGATGGAGTACATCGAGATGAAATCCTACATTTAGTAAGGAATTATAAGCCAAATAAAATAAAAACATCTGCCCTGAAGATAAGGATGACAGATCAACTTCCAATTCATTGCGAACCACGGCGTCGCCCCCCCCCCCGCAGCAGAGCAGCGTGAAATTGATAAACAGATTTCGGAATGGTTAGAGAAACAAAGGATATGTCTTTATCCATTTTTTGCCGCAATTCCACTTTTTGTTTGATGGACATCGAAACATACTTTCGCTTTGTAGATCCTTTGGGAGCTCCAGCATCAGAAATTCTATTTGACATAATCGAAATTTCAAGCTTTCTTTTATAAAATTGCTCTAACAGTCTGCAAAAAATAATAAACCGGATCCTGTTCGAAGATTAAGGAAAAACGCAATCTGGAACATTAACTGAAATGAATAATTAGATAATTTTAGCTTAGCTTATACCATCCGTTATACATTAAACACACATGCATATTATGCGTATGCGTAAAGGTATTATGCGCATGCGCAGAAAGTTTGTAGCTTTGAGGTCTGGATTATGGATGGATTAAAGACTTTTGACTGTACTATGACTAAGGAACGTGAGATAATGTCATTGAAATATCAGGTTTTAAACTGGAGAGCCATATACTGCTATACTAAACAGACTCACTCAATCAGCTTAAATTGATTAGTATTTCAGATGCTTCTAGTTCTTGCCATGATTATCAATATCATTGCCAGAACATTCTGAACAATGATTAGTTATAGCATGACAGCAAACACAAATACGTGTTCTGCAGTTGTAACTTGTTGTTGCATGTTCAGTATCTTCTTAGCTTATCAGCTCAGTGACATTATTGTCATTTAAGAAAAGAATAGCATTTCAAATTTAATGTTCAATTTACCATTTTGCTGTGCAGTATATAGAAACTACATATGTAGCACACTACATATTCTTTAAATGTGTAGCCATATTTCAGTCTTATCCTGTACATGATTAGTTATTAACCATTTACTTGCTGAATTGACTTACATTAAATATTTTGCTTTTTTGATTTTTAATTTTATATTTTGTTGCCAGTAAGTTAATTATTATAATGAAAAAATTTTTCATATAATTTATTTGCTTCGTTCAATATATTAGTATAGGATAGTCATACGAATAAGTATATGTGGGTATACATGAATATCGCATTAGGGAATCTTTGTCTAATCATGCATATTGAATAAATTGTATCTGTAAAATTTCTTCAAGAAATTAACATGCAATTACTATGCATTTTTAATTGTATTATTTTAAAACTTTGTGATTTCCATAATAATGAACTGAAAGAAATCGGAAATTCCAGAAAACCTCTTTTATCGTAAAAAGTAAATGCCATGCCCCCCCCTTCTGGAAGCAAGTTACTAAAAAATATTTCACTCAAATAGTTGCTGAAGTAAATGATATATTCGGCAAAATATAGAAAAATAAGTAATGTAAACATTTTTATATCAATGTTCCCAACTGATGAAAAAAGGTAAATAATTAAATAGTAACTAATAAAATGCCTGATTAGTTCTCAGTATTTCTCACTTTCATGTTTATGCGTCTAACTTTAAATTGTCTTCCAATATCAGAATACTGAAATTAAATTATATTTGGTTTTAGGTTTCAAAAATGAAGATCTTATGCTGGAACATTATTCCAATAATACATCTGTAGTACTTTCTGGTATAGTTTTTGACAGCATTATAGAAAATGGGATTAATGATACAGAAAATATTAAATATAAAGTAAGTTTTTTTTTCTTTTAATTTCCTGTACTAATATATGTTTAACTAGTATTCCAGAAGCATTATTTTCATGCAAATATTAGGTACTTATTTAGGTTTTAGTATTAAAATGTAGAACTGTGTATTCTTGGATTTAAATGAATGTTCTATATTTTTAATTCATAGGTAAAAAGCAAAAAGTGCTTATATATATAATATGTATATAATAAAAATATTTTTCATATAATAACTAAGCAAGTGGTATACACGTTAATTAACTGAATTCATTTTCTTTTGTCAAGTTGTTTATGGTACCTTGTAATTTTGTAAAAAGTTAGTTTTATCTCTGTACAAATTAATATAATTTTTTATTGTCCCATTGTAGTTAATTGTATGATAAGATTTTATTCTGTTTTATGCTTTACAATAACTGTAACATAATGCTTAATAATAACTGTTACATAGTTTTAAATAACATACAACAACATATTTTGAGATAGATGGAGTAGATGTATTAAATAATACAAAATAAAAATATAGTTATTTATACAGGGTCTTGTTAAATCATTATAGTAACCTGCTGAGATCCATAGTATGCATTCCATGTAGGAAGTATTTAACCCTGCTAATGAAGGATGAGATTCAGTAAATTGGCAAAAGGTTGCAGTGTGTATCTCTGATATTGCAGACCATAATGTCAATCTAAGTTAGCGCAACATATGTTCATTAGAGATAAGATTAGACGAAACAAATAACCAAAGATGTACCTTAACAGTTTATTTAAAACCTCTGATGGGCAGTTCTGGCATAGTGTCAGGATGTATACAAAGTATGCAGTATTCAAGTAGCATCATCATGATGACAAATGCTATTGCAGTCCAAGAACACTGGCTTCTTGAATGAATATGTATGATCTGTAGCAATTAAGAGGTAACTACTTATATTCAGAATATTCTCTAAAGGAATCAAAAGTAAGGATTCAATGAAAATGTGTCTTAAACCATAGAACTGTCCTGACTAGCCATTTAGTGTCCAACAATTACATCTGGATATCTGTTTTCAGAGGTTATGCATTTTATTTGCCTCTGTTCATCGTCCCTGCAGTGTTCTTCAGTGAAAAGCTTGGTATTAAAAAATATAGATATTCCTAAGGTTACATATACAGGCTTAGTATTATCTCAGTATTATCTCTGACATCATGATTCTGGCCATAAAATACATAAACCTGGTTCCTACTGGCAGAAAGGACAACCTATGCTATCTCCATGGAGGTAGGAAGTTAGATGGAGTGGCCCTAAACCGGTTTCCCTTATACCCTACTTTGAAGCACTGGTGATTCCTTCTTTGGTGACCAAAGCATTGGGTAATTTACCATTGGATGTAAATATTTTGTACTTATATCGTAAATATGCATATAAATATATATATTTTCTTTTTCTACAATACTTCAGAGTCCTAACTATATGAAAACAATGCACTTTTAAACAACATTTCATTCTGAACGGAATTAAATGCTATATACTTTTTACAGAACAGTTTGCCCAGAATGGTTTAATTTGAATGAAATATTTTCACAAGTTTTTGTTAATTACATTAGAAAGAAATTTTAAGGTAATTCAATTTTATTTGATTAAGGAATACAAAAATTAAGATCAAAGTTTATTGTATTATTAATACTAAAATTATGCATTATTTCTTTTCTATTTATAGAGCTTCTTCCTAAAATACTTCCTCAGATATGACATGATTTTTTACCTTCTGCAGCATCTTTTAAATCGAAAAATTTATAATTAATGCTCTATTCGGTCCATTTCAAATTAGAGCACCTTTTATTGTAATAGCGAAATACTTTAAATAGTACTTAACTTTCTCTGAATATTTCTGAAAGGGAATAAAATAAGAAATATTTTTTTAATATTTTTTAACTTAAAATAACTTGTAACTGAGTTATTATAAAATGTAATGAAATAATTCTTTTAATTATACTTATTAGATTTTTTTTTACCCTTAATTTCAACAATACATATTCCAAAACTCTTCCTTATTACTTTCTTAAGTACGCATCTCATAGAAATTGCTTTACAATACCTTCTAACAGATTCCTTTCCAGTACGAAGAATTCTTGCTTAAATAGTTTTATAACGTATTTGTCAACAGGATGTCAATTTATGTTTACAATTCAATGTTAAGGATATTATATATTTAGATAATATTTATAGTCATTATAAATTTAGATGCATTTAATAACTGGATTTCTTCACAGTAACTTTCACAGTTGTTTATGAATGAATAAATCCTTCATTTCAAATACATTTATGAATAAATTAATAAATATTTACCTATTTTGTTAAAAGCAGATGCATGCTTTTTGTAAGCACTTGCATAAATACCCATATATATTTCATATTTTTCATTTCTGGCATGTGGAAGTCTTTACTTCTTTGCATTCACTATATTTTTCGAGTAAAATAATTTACACTAATTTTAAAAAGTGCATGTTACAATAATATGTGGATGTGAAAAAAAATTACTTTATTTAAAACATTTTGGCATTTGAAACATAAATATAAAAGTAGAATACTGTATCCAAGGGTATCGAAAGATGTATTTTAAAGGTTTTAAACGGTAAGGTTTTTTCAGGTAACATTTTTAAGCATTAACGTTTAAGCTAAAATCTATATTTTTGCTAGTTCAACAGCTTAGAATTGTAGTTATAAACATCTTAGAATTCACATTCAAAATCGCTGTTGTTAGTTATCGAAAAATAACCAAGATGTGATTTTTGTGTAAATGTCACTAAACTATACAAATTGCTATTATCCATGACACTAGTAATGTTTCTTTCATGCGGAAGTGTCCCCTTTTTTTATTTGTATGGAACCGTCGTGTGTCCAAATACTATCAGAGTGCTGTCAAGTGAGCTTCTGAATGTAAACAAAAAACACCCCATCTAGTGACTGAAGCTTTGGAGCAGTGCTTCACTTCTAATGCTGGTTTGGCCACTCCTTCCTTTTTTATCTCCATGGCTATCCCAGATGGTAGTGGCTCCGGCCATCTGAGTGGGCAGTGTAATGGCCAATGACAGATTCTTCAAAAGGCTATCTCTCTTGTCGTGGACTCCGTACCTCCAGGAGTGGTGACCCAAAGCTGGATCAGTGAGGGGTTGGCTTAAGGTGGCCGGATCAGTGATTTCAAATTTTCAAAACTCTGCCACTTGTGGATTTGAGATGTGCATGTGGTTTATGAGAAGTCAGTGAGATCTCATTTTTAGAAGCTTTTTGGTTTAATTTCCTGCTTCCTACTTAGTACAGAGGTATGGGATCAATCCATGTATCATTGCTATAAATTAGTGTTGGCAGAATGCATATCCTGAGATAACGTACTCTGTAAGGGAAAAAATGGCTCATTGAAGAAAGCAGTTCATAGATACTAGACCAGAGTCATGTTTTTGTACTACTGTAACGACTGATGGTGTTTTTGCAATGAGTCTCTAAAATAACCATATGTCTGCTCTTAGGCTCAATATGCTGTAGACGTGCCTTAGCTTTGGATGGCTAACTCTGTATCAGATAAATTTATCAAAGGTATATCTTTTTCCCCTTCCTTGAGAGGAAATTTTTCAGATTCCTGGTATCCCAAGAAAATTATATGAGTTTAAAAATACTCAGTGTTTATATTTTTGTGATTAAAATTAACTTGCAGTTAGTTAAGCAGCTAAAATAAATTTGTGAAATGATAATGCAAAATTAAGTATCTTTTAAAGTGAAACTTTCTTCTGTAAAATTCTATACTTACTTTTCTGAAGAAAACTTCAAACCTTTAAACTATAATGTTTTTTAAAAAATCTAAAAGTCAGTGCTTTTAGCAAAGATTAATTTTCAGTCTTCTAACATGTAACCTACTTGCAGAAAATGCTTGTTCTGTTTCAACGTGTATTATTCAAATGCTTTTTAGGATAATTATTGTGCTCATAATATTGAAAACTGTTGTCTTTGGAACTCCTTTTTCAGAAACAATGCATAAGCAATGTTTCTGATTTTGGAGAAAAGATTGTTTAAGTGTTGTTTTTCACTGAACCACCATTTTTTATTTACTGATCTACTCATAAGTTATGCACTTGAGAAATAGTACAAATTGCATATTTATCCACCCCCCCAAAAAAAAAAATATATATATACATATATATGAAGTTTAAAAAAAATCAGTTCTGTTTCAAAAAGCATTATGCAGGACTGTCTTAATTTGTATCTCATTGGGGAGGAAAAATCAGCATTGGATTATTGATAACATAATCATCATAATAGACTTCAGTAATTCTGACTCTAAATATGTACAATTAGTGTTCAAACTCATCATTGTTTGGCACCTTGGGAATAAGATGGTTTCTCTTTTTATTACCAGTATTAAGGAATTATTGTTCATTGAAAGAAATTTATTCCTTCAAAATAACAAAAAGTAAAATTTTTCTCGGGAATTGAAAACAGCAAAAAACGTTTTCCTGGTAAAGAAAAGAAATTTTGTCAGAAAAAGAAATTCTAAATACAACTCATGTAATAATCCTGACAAACTATCTCTACTATGGTCTGTTGCATTTGAGGCTGAAACCAATATCAATTTCTCTGGACTATTATACTTGTAAGCATAAGCACAAAGTTCTCTCTTTATCTCTTTAAAAAAAAAAAAATCTGAGAGCTTTCAGATTTTACATTATGCCCAAAAGGGCATTTTTTTTTTTTACATTTTTGTGTTATCTGTATTTATTAAATGTTCTTTGCACTTAAACTATAAAATTCAATTCAACAGCAATACCACTGAATAATTTTAAAATGAGCATATCTTTAGAATTTCCAATACACAGTTTCGTGTGCTTTTTTCCCCCATACAGTTTTGCCACTGCTTGGTTTGAAATTATTGATCTTGTTTATCAAAAATTTGTTGAAGTGTTACAGAATGAAAAGGGGTAATAAAACAAGTTTCAAATTCCAAATTAGGGCTTCCAGATGCCCATATTCAGTGGAAGATTACGTTATTCAAAATTTGAAGGCTGTAGGTACCATTGTTTTATAACAAAGGGATAAACATTACATACATTTATGCAAATTCTTCATTATTTAATATATTTAAATATAACACATGGTGATAATGTTTGGTGGCAACAATTTGAAAAGTAAACCAACATTCAAAGTTTTCAATGCAAAATGCCAAAACAAAATTATAGTTCTTCTGGGCTTGCCCAGAAGGACTCTTAATTTGGGGTAAAAATTCTTTAAGCATCCCTTGCTGATGGTCATCATTATGCAGTTTAGTCTCTTAGCTTATGTTTTCTGGCCATGATAATAGTTATAACTGCATTCGTAGACAGCAAACAGCCTACTGTGCATGTTTTCAGTAGAGGACCTTGAAATGTACAGTGTAGGATCGCCTTACACATCACATGTTCACTGAGAAACAATCATAATAATATAACTTGATCCTGTATATAATACAAGCTATATCAGTAAAGTGGTGACAAACTTGCAGGAGAGATAGAGTATATGTAGATGATGGTTAATCACGTAGGAATGAATAGTTGGAAATGCTTTCCTGTCACAGTAGTTATTAGGGCTGTGGAGTCCGTAGGGAAAATGATCGACTCCGACTGCTGGAATTTTAAAGACTCTGACTCTCATTTCGACTCCTTCATATATATATGTGTAAACATATGGACATGGGTTACAGCTTACTTTTTTAATATAAAAAAAGTAATAGATGCTACAGAAAAATATTGATGTCATAGCAAATTATTTATATTAATTAGCATTTATTATGAAATGGAAAAACTGGCATTAGTTATTTCTAAGAAACAGCATAGCTTCAGCAAGATCTTCTTTGTTGGAGGACCATAGATCCAATTTGAAAAAGTTCAGAGCTGAGAAGAGCCTTTCCACACTGACTTGAGTAGGAGGAAGAGCTGTAACTGCTAGGGTTACTTCTTTTAACATTTCAGAATAGATTTTTATAACTTCTAAAGCAGGTGTCTTTCATGAGCAATCATATTTCTCTATTTCTTCAAAGGCCGTGTAGAAATCTTGTTTGTATTTTTTCATTTTCATATCTAAAAGCGCTTGGTTCTTTATTTTCATTCACTTTGCTGTAGCCTTTTCAATATTATTCCAAAAATTTTATTAAAATCTAATTCATCACTGAAAAAGGAAGATAGAGACTCAGTTGCAATGTCTGCAGTTTGACCGCCCTGATCTGAATATTTCAATTGTTCTGAAAATAATTTTATTCTCATTGAAAGTTCATAGATGGCTTTCTTTGCCTTCTTAATTTGTTCGTCATCCAATAAAATTCGGTGTTTTGGATCTACATATATTGAACCCAGCTAGATCTCATTGTCTAACAAACTAGTTTCTTTTTCCTTCATTGAAGAAATGATTCCTTCTGCAATTAACCCTCCATTTCAGAAAGAACAAACATCACATTCTTCCATTCTCACCTCCTGTTAATTCTTCAGATTGTAGGTTTTTTGTGGCTATATATGGTGTAGAAAGAAGAGTTTCCAATTCTGAAAGATCATTCCACAGCCTTTCCGTTAGTGAAACATTAGGGTTATCTACATCTTCTAAAAAAGTTCTTAATTCTAATAACCATTATATTATCAAATATGTACTTCCTCATTGCATTGCTTTATCAATAATTGCTCCTTTTCCTTCTCGCTTCCTAAGAATGGTGTCAGTTTTGGGAGTTCTTGCTGCTATTGCTGCTACTATATGTTTACTAATGAGATTTGTAACTAAATGAATCAGTTTAATCACTGATGGCAAATATCACATCCATCCTCTTCTCTTATATTTATTTATTAATATATCAATAAAATAGAAAATAACTATTTATTAATGTATATAGTTCATAAATAAAAATAATTACTCAGCTTGTCATTAATTTTTTTCAGTTCATTTTAATTTCATTTCAAATTCAAACTGTCCAACAGAAACTGAAGTCAGAGTCGCCCTGTTTTTAGCGACTCCAGCTCCGACTTCTTTTACCCCAAAATCTGCCCAGCTCCGATTCTGACTCTGACTCCTGGTAGTGACAGCACAAAATTCAAAAAAGAAAGGACATGAATGGGGTGAGAAAACATGTTTATTGTTCAGAGTACTACAATAACAATGAAAAAACAACGATCATCCTCAAAAAAGGTGTTCAAAATTACGACCCAGGCCATGATGCAGGAACTGTGTGTCATGCATCTTCCATTCGTGATGCAGGTCTTCCATGTGCCAGAGAAGTGAGCTCTGCATCAGGGTCCAGGGTTGTAATTTCGAACACCTTCTTTAATCATTGTTTGGTTTTGTTCTTATTTGGATGTTTCTGCTGCACTAAACATAATAAAACATGTTTTATCTCACTGTTTGTGTCCTTCCTTTATTCCATTTTGTGTCGTCACTACCGTGCCAGGAAAGCGTTTCCGAACATGCATTGCTATATGATTTCCCATCATCTAGGTATACTCTATCTCTCCTAAAAGTTTGTCACTGCTGTACTGATACACTCATTATAATCATTATACATATCATTATAATGAATCATTTTTAAAGTTAAACTATTTTAATGGTGAAATAAAACTCTTACTTGTCTATTAAAAACTCTTTATTAATTTTCATTTTCATAATTTCTAGGTACGGCCAAAAGCTGCAGAAGGTGGTAATTCTGCATTCAAAAATACATTAAAAACCTGGTTTACTGAGTACACATTTGCATTATTACCAGCATTAGGTCCCAGAAATAGATACTCTGCTTGGGGCGGTAGTCCTGGTGAGAAATTTAAATTTCTGTTCATAATTTTCATCTATGTTAAAATCTGGTGTTTCCTTTTTTCAGGTATTATTTTTAGTGTATTTTCTTTTTAATCCTAAATTATAAAACACGGATAAGAATTATAAAAAACTTCATGATTTTATAATTCTGATCTCAGTTTTTATAATCTTATCTCAGTTTCATAATTTTGGCATGTCTATGTATTAGTTTGTTGTGTTAACTAAAACTACAATTTTAAGTGTTTTAAGATAGATTAGGTTATTTTGTTGTCAAAATTTTGCTGCTGCCATTTCATCAACATTGTTTTCTTCTTTTATCAAACTGTAAAAATACATAGTTTCAGGTTTTTTAGAGATTTCTGAAAAAATGTCAAAGGAAACAAGACATTTTTCAGTTATTCTTGGTACATAAAATTATTGCATCATATTGGAAACAAAAACAGAAGGAATTGTATTATCTTTGATGTAGTAAATCCAGGCATCCTTTGATGTAGTAAATATTTAATCATAAATTTCTCTTCTTCTCCCCTGTGGAATCGTCTGATAGGAATACTTCTATCTGCCATGCTTTGTTTTGTAGAAACTATGAACACTAAATTTTGAGCAATGCAAGAAAGCCATGTGGGTGTATTATATTCTTTGAATATGATTCCAAGAAACATATTCTATTTCTTCTAGCACTTTTACTTTTTGAAGGATGTGGTCCTAAACTAAACTACAAAGCATTTCACTCGTTTGCAATAAAAGGGTTAGAGATAAATAAAAATAAACCTGACCATGCTTTACAGTTATATCTCATACCCTGTGCTCATCTTCATGGGTTAATTTTTGATTTTTAAGATAACTAAACTTACTTTGCTTAAGATGATTAGCCTTAGATCGGCAAAGGCCTTTCCAATGCGAACCAGCTGGCCTGCCAACAGAGAAATGAAAAAAGCCTTTTAATATAATGAGCTCTTTGTGCATGTTGTTGGTAATCTTTTAATTTTTTTTTTAGTATAAAGGCTGAAAGGTTCTCAGTGATGAGATGGTTAAATGACTGATGGTTTCAGTCATGTTTCTTGACAAATGTTTAACCAGAAAATGTCTGGCTTTGGGGAGGGGGTGAGATAAATGCTTATCACGATAACCGAATGGAGTATCAGAATTAATTTAGGAGTTTGAAATAGTCAAAGCACTTTGTGTCCTTGCCCAAAGTCAGGTGCTGGACATTTACTATTTATCATTTATTTTAACACTGTGTGTGGGGACTGATAAGCTAAACATTTCCTCTCAAGAACACATAGAATTGTCTTAATTCTTTACAACAATGATTATTGCTCTTTAATTACAAGCAAAACAAAAGTTTCTGTTAAACAAGCAACCAATGCTATTTTCCTGTGTGTGAGAAAAGAATGTGAAGAATATTGGGCATCTAATTATAATAGACTCTTCCATAGTTGCAGCTCTAACAACATAGTTCGTTGACTTTTTGGAAGTTTTAATATTTTCATTTCAAATATTTAATCTTTTTATCCATTTATATTATATTTTAAATAAAAGTAATAATTTTATAATTTAAATTCTCTTTATAGGTTATATGTCTCAGGGATTTTTGACACTTCAACATGCTGTAGCCATGAGTTTGATACAAAACAGCCTCTCTAATTCTAGTGAAGACATTAAAAACATTATAAATGTAGAGATGTGTAGATATCCATATCCACCATATCTTGATGACAAATTTATTGTGGCTTTACAGTTATTTTTGCCTATGATTATTTGCTTTAGTTTTATTTATCCTGCTGTTAACATAGTGAAAAATTTGGTTATAGAAAAAGAAAAGAAGTTAAAGGTAAGTTTTCTAAGGTTAGTTATTCTAATTTCATACTTATACAATTAATAGTATGTCTATTGTTTATAAATTATTATGAAGCTCATATATGTGATCGACTAGTTAATAGTAAAACAACAATAATGGATTTTCACATTACGAAATATATTCCATTGAAAAGATATAGCAACAGTTATTTAAAATATTTTCTGCATTTTTAAACTTGTATACATCATTTTATAGCACCATTTATCAGACACTTCTAAACTTATTCAATAAATTTAATTTAATGATTTGATTTCACTGCAATGCACTGGCTGAAATGATAGCATGTGTCATTCTTTCTTGTATTCCTTCTTCATTTTATTGCATATATTTATTATTTGACACATGACAAACTTATCCATACTCACTCTATATATACCAGGTTTCCTGTAGCATGTATTTTCTTTTATTTGTCTTTCTTAATTTGATTTTGTTAAACTGAGTAACATGGCTTTCATCAAAACTTGTTCAGTATTCTAGTTGTTCCTTATTTGGATCATATAGGTGAATTAATTGCTATTGCTTTAGTAGGTGGGCTTCAGCTTTTGATAGGTTGCTGAAGTTTTGCCCTGAAGTTAATCACTGAAATTGTTAGCTTTTTACCATTTGCTGAACTGAAGATTCATACATGTCTGTCTTTGAAGACCGGAAGATAAAAACAGTTTTTAAACTCCATGAAAAATGTAAAAGATTCTTGTGATGACAATGGCAATCTCATCCATCCCAAACCAAAAAATTCATAAAATTCTGCACTTAAGACTGACAGACTTAGGATATTAAGCAAATATAAAAATCACTGGGCTTCCAGGATTGTGACTCCTTGAAGGGCTAGGACACTTCAGGATTGCCATACTTATACTCACAAAGAATGAGCCCTGAGGGCTTACACTCAGAAGGAAATGAACGAGAAAAAAATGGCTGATAAGCAGTAATATATATATATATATTTCTGATATATATATATATATATTTTCTGATATATATATATTTCTGAAATATATATATATATATATATTTCTGATTTATTTTCCACTCTTCTAATTTAGTACTTTTCCTGGTTTTCTTCTCTTGTGGTTTTCCTTTGCAGAATTTAGGGCTCAAAATGAGATGTTGTTATGTCCCTTTGTTTCTAGTTTCTCAAAGAGAGGAAACTGCGTACACATTTGCTGTGCATAATGATCCCTAAGACTAGAAAAGAGGCTCATGGTAGTTGAATGGGTGAGCTACTCTTCCAACATATTGCTTTGGGCTCTGCTTCAAATTGAATTGGCAGGCACTTAGCTATCAATTCACTGGGTCAATGACTTAGGGATAAGCTTTCAGAAGTTCCTGCCTTCAGGAAAGCTTACTATGGAGCTTCAGATTGCATATAGACCTGGTTAGGTCTAATGCAGGAATCTGCATCACCTTGTTGGACTATGTGGTGGATGGGGGCTACCAGGTCTGAATTTTTTTCTTCTTCAAACATGGCTGTCTCAAATAACCTTGCAGTTACTTCTGTACATGTCTCTTTTAAAAAAAATTGAAAACAAATGCAAGTGCTAATGTGATTCATCCAAAAATTTGCCTCATTTGGTTGTTATTAACAACCCAATAGGTGAATTTGTGAAGATGTAACCATTTTTTAATTCTTAAATATGTACAAGCATATGCTTGAGAATCAAAGCTCATGAAACTGCAGCAGTCTGGTAATCTTTTAATAAAAATAATATCTTCTAGTCATTCGGTAGCTGTTCTCGGTGTAACCAAATTTGGGAATCTGGTCGTTTGTGCTTTGGCTCACAGAACACTAAATTGCTGTCAATGAGTCATCGTAGAGTTATATCTTCTTTCCTTTTTGAAAGAGGAATTCATCTCGGAGATCTCCGATTAGAATGTCTGTGGTAGAAAGTGGATTAAGATGTGCAAAGATGGTCAGTTGATTGATACAAAATATTTGATCCTGACCTTCACTTCTACTTATTTGCTCAAATGCTTCAAGCCAGATATCTCCACTTCCCTGTAAGACTTAAAATCCCCAACACTATAAGCTGTTTCCAGTGCCAGCAATTTTGGCCACACAATCAGTTTCTCGGGGACCACACAATTGATGCCTGAGAAAACTTACATATGTGTGCTACTCTGTTGAGAATCATGACAGTGATTCTTACAGTATTGCACCACTGCATATAAACTGCAAAGAGGAATACACAGTTCTGACTCTTGTCTGTGTGAAAGTTACAAAAAGAAAAACATATGCTGAAGCTAGGAGACTAGTCTCTGAAACTCAGCTGTGCAAAAATATATCATTTGTTGTGGTCAAATTTGTCAGATCCCAAACTCTTGTTAGCAATTAAGAAAAAAAGCCATCTGCTACCATCCTAAAAATCATGATGATACCTATGAAGATATAGTGAACAATGTATCTATAGACTATGTAGTGGAAGCCATCGCGGAGATTATTATACCAGCAGATGAATCTTGTATTCCATTGTCATTTAAAGGATTTCTAAAATATCCTAAACCATGGTAAAACTGGCAATACCAAGCAACAACAGAGGAAAGCACGGGATAAATTTTGAGCAACAACAGAGGAAAGCACAGGATAAATTTTGCTGGCACCCTTTAAAAAAGACAAGGCAACTGCACGAACAGTCATGCAACAGCAAAGCCAGAGGAACTCTTATGTGTCTGAAATAACATTGTCTGTGTTGAGTAAATGAATATGGGAAAGAGTTAAAAAAGCATGTGGATTATGTAAAGACTACTCACTCTCCTTCCTGGAAAAAGATTGTCAAGTGATTAATATTACAGAGGTAATTGCGAGTATAATTTGTCAAGCATTTGCTGTCATCTCTAGTAACGTCAATTAACCACCAACATTTACTTAAGCATTGCTCAGAGGATATGCACTTTGCATTCAACTGTTCTAACTCAAAGCGATATAATGGTGATTTTACCATGCTTATTTTACTAGAGCTAAGGAGCACTTTGATGCAGACACATAGTCCAAGTTCAAATTCTGCCTTCTATTCTGAGTTCAGATGGTCTCAGTTATGAAATGCTGAAGCATCTGTAAGTCATTGACTGCTTTTCTCACTCTTCACAACTAAGTGTGGAAGAAGCATACCTTTCCCTGTGCATGGATGAAAGCTGTTATCATACCCATAGCTAAACTAAAAAAAGACTTGAAGTGCCCTATCAGCATTTTAAGCTGTATTTGCAGACTATTTGAAGAAAGGGTAAATTACCATTTAGTCTATTCTGTGTGGGGAAGGGCAATATAATTTTGCCTGAACAGAGTCGTTTCTGCAAAGACAGAATGACTATTGATTACTTGAATATTTATTTTGAACCATTGGTAACTGCTTTTGGAAACCTGCATCTTCGATCATAATTTCGAAATGTCGATAACTGCTTTTAGAGGTCGCCATTACAAAGCCTTTGTGAAAAAAAAATCTAGTTTCTATCAGAAATGTCTTATGACAAGACTTAGAGATATGGCATCCTGCTTTATCTTTATACTTGTATGGCAACTTGCCAACATTCGTGCAGTACAACATTCAGAATTTTTTGAGGGTGAAGGCTTTCCAAATAAGAATTGGCTTCATGTTATCATATGCTTTTTGAGATGTGATAACATGAACTTGTGTACTCGAGATGAGAGTGTGCCTCAAGATTTTGTCTTTAGTGTTACACTTTTTAGCTGAGAAATTATTTAACTATAAGAGAACTTCATCGTATGGTTTTAGTATCACTATATATGTTGATGACCTCCAGATAAGTTGACAAGTTATGGATATGAGATATACAGAGAGATAAATGCAGATTGCTCTTCACAGGATCTGGAAATGGTCAAACAAGCATGGATTTTTGTTTTAAAAAATCTAAGATGCTGAGATGTATCTTCTAGGGTGATCTCGGTGGAGTCCAAAATAAAGTTCTTAAAAGTAATGCGAGACTTAAAATTGACTTTTCTTTTTCACATCCTACAGAGGCTGTTCACATATTTTTTAGACGATGTATATTGTATTCACAAAACTAAATTACATAAAATTCTTGTGCTTTAAATGTTCTATTTGACATCCCTTATTCTGAACTATCTTTCGACACCGCAATTTCCAGGATAATAATGCCTTTTGAAGTGGCAGAAGAGGTATTCTATCTCGTTCCTCCTGAACAGCTTTCCAGAGTCCTGTTAGAGTTTTGGGACAATGTTTAAATAATGCAATTTTTAAAAGTCCAAAAGTACAAAAATCCATAGGTGACACATCAGGAGATTTAGTAGGGATATCAGTGAAGGGTATGGCTTTGATACCAGTTTTTTGTTCCATTTCTTTTAGGAAATGTACAGTGGATTTTGATGTGTGACTGCTAGCTTTGTCCTGATGGAGTCTCACAGATTGATGGCACTGTGGGTAAAGCGATGGTATTTCATTCAGAAAAATTGGCGATAAAATATGTTCCTGATAGTATTTGGAGTTAATCTTGACATTTTTTTGCACTCTCTTTATATTTAACTTGCCATTATAAGAAGAAAAACCAGCAACAATCATGATTCCCTTAGAAAAATTTTCTTTCAATTCTTTGAACCATGTACTTAAATTTTTTCTCCCCTTTTATGATAATAAATGACTTTTTTTTGTTACAATCATTTAAATACACCCATGCTTCATCTATTGTGATAATTGTTTTCCATTTTTCTTTGGATAAGTGTTTCTCATATAGAATTCTGCAGCGTGTCCTGCGTTGAGCGATATGCTTTGGAAGAAGACGATGCACATTGCGTTTTTTCGCTTTCTTAAGATTTAAATCAACGTTTATCATTTTGTTTACAGTGGACACCGAGCATTTTAATGATTTTGCAACTGTCCTTTGACTAGAGGGATTTTCTTTTAACATTAAACAACATACCTTTGCAATAGTCGCAGATGTCCGTTATTTCCTTGGATACTTGTTTGGAATTTTTGTCCCACTTGAGGCTCCAATTTGATGTTTTTTTTTTCCTTTCTTGTTGATGATATTACGTATCAACGCTTTAGATATCGCAAAACCATGACTCTCACATCGTTTTTGGATAACGAAGTATGCATATTTCTCTTCTGAAAGAGCGTAAATGTAGCCTTCGAACCACTGCTTTGTTAAATTCGCCATTTTGAATAAAAATAAAACTTTCAAGCCACAGACGATAATTTTGACTTTTAAAAACATAGTACAATTGCAATTACTTCTTTTGCAGGAAACGATTTTTTTATTACTGCTTACCAAAATCGTCTAAAAAATGTGCGAACAGCCTCTGTATACCTGAGGAAGAAATCTTCAAATACGTTGAATCTTTTAAAACTCTTGGCGAACACTTCTGGATGCATATATTATTGCTCAAATGTTTGTTAGCTTTAGGATGGATTATGGCTGGATTATTTATGGTTTGGCACAGTGTTCAGTTTTACTTGCATTAGATTCTATTCACCATCAGTCTATGTGAAAAGGCTTCAGAGTTTTTCGTATGTCTCCAGTGCAGTCTGTATGTTATTTGTGATAAGCGATTACTTCAACTCAGGCGTGAATAGTTGTCTCTTTGCTGTTATTTCAATATACTATTAGCTCCTGATCACCCTAACAAAGTTACTTTGCTTGATAACAAATGCAAGCTTTTTAACTGAAGTTCAACTTCCTGCACACCTTTTTTCTCTTTAACTGTAGAATATTACATGATGGATATGAAGAGCCAAATAGTTAAGCATTTTGAAATTCCTTTAGAGAATAATGATTTGCATTCTTGATATATTCCAGAATCTTGGCAAAAAAGGTAATATATAGTTCACATATATGCAACTCTTCTTTGAGCACAGACCTAAATAACACTATAGTAGACCATATATATAGTAGTTGGATCTAATGCAGTAGATCATTTTGCGGCATCATTTATTATTGAGAATTGCATGGAGGACAAAAGATTGCATAATGCATGCTCAATCCTCGTCTTGGAATTAACTGCTGTGTACTGTGCATTTAAGTATATATTTAAGGTATGCCACAGAAATTTTGTTATATATACCGACTTATTTAGACTTCTAAAAGCCTTAGGATCTTTTTCTGATGCACAAAATCCTATGGTAGTTGATCTTAACTTAACTCTTTCACATCGAAGTCGCCCGTAGCGCCCATTCATTCAGGCAACGGCAAACCGCCCCAACGCCTCGTTTATTTTCTACCTAGTTCTTTTCCCTCCATGCTAGTGTATGGCTCATTGGTTTCGCGAGTTGTTAAAAGACATGTCAATCATTCTTTTGAAGCAAATAAAGGAGAAATACGGAAAGCTATTGACTTTCGCAGGTGCAATCCGGCCCTAAGGTGAAACTGCACACAATGGATGAAACCGCAGGGGGAAAGGAAAACTATTCCAAGACAAATTCGTAAACACGGGCGTTTTCGATGTTTGTTGAAAACAGATTTGGTCGTCTCTCGATGCGAAAGAGTTAAAGAGCAGAGGATGACATATACTTTGCTGCTGATTATCAGGCATGTTGGTATAAAAGATAATGAGTTGGCAGACATTACAGCACAGTCTCTAGTTCATCTGTCTAACAGGCTCATTCTTTTTATAAGTGATATCAGTAAAGTCATCAGACATAGAATCGTGCACAAATGGTAGCAACTCTGGGACATTCAGCTAAATTATAAATTAAGAAGCTTGAAAACTAGAGTGGAATACTGGGAGAGTACTAGAAATCAAAGGGAGGAAATAATTTTAACCCGTCTGAAAATCACTCACTCATATCTGCCTCTTAAAAGTGGAATGTGAACCTATTTGCCCCAATTGTAATGTTGTTTTATTAGTTTGTCACTTATTAATTGTCCATATCTTTACTCTCTTCAACACAAGCATTTTAGCTACTGTGACTTGCCTCTTAATCAAATAATCAGAAGAGCTCAATACTAATTTATTTAAGTATGTGAAAGAGATGGTTCTTTGTTATTTAATTTGATTTAATTTTGAAGTTGTTCCTTGATATTTTAATTTAGCTCAGTAGTTCACAAACTTTTCTGAGTCGAGGCATGTTTTTTCAATTAAAATTCTACCATGGCTCCCTACCCTAAGTAAAATTATGACTAATTATAAGTATGAGATAAAAATAAATAAAGCTTGTATATCTTCATTATTTAAACATATCAGTAATATTTTCTAAATTGCCAAGTAATTTATTATAAATATATTAAGCATGCTTAAGAACTGTGTTACTTTCATTTTCAAGAATATATATTTGCTGTAGTTTACAATACATAAATTTAGTCTGAACTTAGAGGAAAAATAAAAATGAGCAAGAGAGATAAAAACAGCCGCCTAAAATCTTTGTTAGCGCAATAAAAGATAAATACATAAACAGTAAAATAAATGCATTAACAGTAGAAATAGGAATCGGGCTTATTTATTTGTCTATGGGAATTAATACAATCTACTTATGAAAAAGAATATCCTAAAGGAATTCCAAATTCCAACTAATTAATTGAGCAATTAATTAGTTGATCATATTGCATAAGAAGAAAATTATGAAAAAACAGCCGGCCAATACAACAGCCAAGAAGAGAGTCCATGACCAATCACATTGCTTTGCAACTTCAGCTACTACGCCATTGAATATGACCCAAAAAGGTGATTCTTTCTCCATCTCCAAACAGACTACCCTAAGTAAAATTATGACTTATTATAAGTATGAGATAAAAATAAATAAAGCTTGTTTATCTTCATTATTTAACATTTCTTGTTTATTTTATTAACATTAAATTAATTAAAGGACTTTCTTAAAGAAGCTGGCTTATATTCATTTACATACAGAAAAAACCATGTAAACCAAGCATGCAGTCAACCTATTTACTTGAGATTAAATCCATACTGAACTTCTAGTGGCTTTAACCACTTCCCTATTTTGAGCCTACCATACCAGCTCAAAACAGCAGAGGTATTTTTAAAAAATAAATACTTCCATACTTAAATTAAAATTTCATTAGTGTTTGTCATACTTTTGATTTCTGCTAGCTTTCAGAATTTAAATCAGAGAGCATATTTCTTTAAAGTTCTTTTTTTCTTCCCATTATGAAAGCCATTTTTTGAGTAGCAATCACTGAAAAATTCCAAATTTTGAAGTACATAATATTTTATTTTTACAAATAAAATCATTGGATTAAAAATTAATCCTGTTCCAACATTCCTGTATATTTATTGCTGATGGAAAAATTATTATACTTTTCAATGAAATTCTTTCTTCTAAATCAGGTAACGATGTGCAAAAATCCAAATATCTTTTATTTACATACTGGTGTAAAACATCTGAACATTCTTCAACGCTTGTTTTGTTGTATTTTAGAGACATGTGGTTTGCATCTGGTATTTTACCTTATAAATTTTTTTAATTAATTTAGGTATCCTTCTTTTATCAGGACCACATTCAGAAATGTATGTCTATCATATATGGATGGATGTATTTGCATATGCATGTATGTATGCGTTTGTGTATACACTCATAATCGTACATACATGCATACATACATTTCTGAATCAGTAACAGATGTGTACCCTCACTTATTGTTTTATTGATCACGTAATATATAATTAAATTGATATTTTTTTCTTAAGGAAGCAATGAAAATGATGGGATTAAGTAGGTGGTTACATTGGACTGCTTGGTACTTCAAGTATACTGTTCTTCTTTTTGTATCATGTGGCATAATTACGCTTTTGCTCTGTGTAAAATTTCATGAAGATATTGCTGTGATAAATGCAAGTGATCCATCAGTAATACTATTTTGGCTTCTCTTCTATTCCATGAGTACCATCTCTTTTTGTTTTCTCATCAGTACTTTATTTTCTAAAGGTTAGTATTCTCCCAGATATTGTTATTAACAATTACATCTATCGAGTTTGTTTCCATATTTTTAGAATAATGTTGATTAAAATGTTCTGAAAAAATTATTTGGAAACAACTCATTATTTTAAATGTTAGTTTATGTTTGATGTATCTAAGTATGTACTAAAATGCAAAAGTGAAAAAGTTTTGACTAAGTTATATTATTTCTCTTCCCAAAGAAAAGTATTTTTATTCTATAATTAGAAATCATAGAGAGAATCGTAGAAATACCATTTCTAAATGCAAAGTGAATAATGTTATTGTAATAAAGAAATATCTGCCTAGAAATGAACATTTGAAGAAAGTGTGCACTTTTACAGCCCTTTGAAATGGATTTCGTTGGTTTTATCAGAAAAGCTGCTGTCTGACAATTACATTATCTTTAAATAATATGTTACCAGTAGTAAACAAAAATAAACAAACAGAAAAAAGCAAACAAATAAGTTTTAAAATTTATATGTTATTTATTTATTTTTTATTAATTATTATTATTATTATTTAATCTAAGCATGTGGCTGAATTGTAAAGCAGGTTGTAAAATCCTTTATTAAAAAACTTATTAGAGGCTAATGACAGTATGCTGTGACTTTTAACAAAGCATGCATTTTCTGTTATTTGTCCTAAATAACTGTTAAAATTAAGGAAAGTTACAAAATATTAAAATTAATTTTCTGAATTATCAAAATAATTTTTGACTTTTATCTTTAAAGAAGAAATTTTATTACATTATTTACAGAACCTTCTCTGAGTACATGCTCATTATGATAAAACTACAAATCACATACTATATCCCTAAATTTACTGAAAAATCAACTTCCAAAAGTTTGTTGGGAAAAAAAGGACAGAAGAGGCCAGTGTTAACCCACGGGAAAGCGCGTGGGGTAGATTAAACCCCACGTACTTTCCCGCGGGTGTATCATACCACACCCCTACATAAAAGTGGAATATTCCTAACTTGTGAAACTGAAATTCTGTGCTGCATTCAGTAGCTGAGTTTCTAGTTGTGGTTGACTTTCAGAACCGCTTTTTCTTTGCCTGTGTGTTTCAGAAAAAGATTTATCGGTATTTTGTTGGAACTGGGGTATGACACACCCCACGCGCCTGTCCGCGTAAGTGTTTTCTGACTGAATATTTAGTTCAGAAATTTATTTCTAGAGTGTAACAGTAAAAATTTCTACTCGCAAGTGATTTTAAAGTACTTGACATTAAATTCTTAAAAATTTCTAACCTCATTATGATAAAAAAGAATGACTCCCTATGGATTGGAGATGGAATGCCGTGAGATTTATTAGAAATATTTGAAAGCGATGAAGATTGCATTTCGGAAACTGAAGATGAAACTAGGAATATTTTCTACACTGTTTTGGTTTCAAAAAAGATAAAACATTAATTCCTGATGTACCTAAAAAAGGAAAAACTGTTATGCTTTCAACATTATATAACGATCATACTATAGATGATACTATTGGAGAAAATACAACGTCAGGAATTATACGTTTTTATGATATGACTAAAAGAGCAGTTGATACGGGGGATGAAATGTCAGCCAATTATTCAATTGCCAGAATAACAAGGAGGTTGCTCATGGTAAGTTTCTTTCCTGCACTGAATGTTGCTGTAATAAATGCTTGAATTATATTATATCCAACTGCTAATCCACCAACCAGAAACAGAAGTCTGTTTTTGAAGGACTTAGAATTACAATTAATGAAAAAAAGTATTGAACAAAGATCAGAGGTTAATGCTTTTCCAAGAAACTGACGTATTGCATGCAAAACAAAAGCAGAAGTTTCGACGAAGAATTAAAACGAATACATGAAATTCGAAACAACTAAGTATGAAAGATGTGATAAATTGCCCTCGCACCAAGGACAGAAGAACGTGAATGCAGTGTTTAAAATGTGAAAATATTCTGTGCCAAGAACACATAAATGTATTTCATTCAAAGTATAAAGAAATAAAATAAGCATTGTTTCTTTGAGATGCAATGAAACTTGGAGGCATGATGTTTATTTTTTTTTATTATTATTTTCATTTGTCTTAATTTTAACTCTAAGATTATTTTGGAAATTAATTTTTTGAAACCCAATTATTATTCACGTATTTATAATACACGAGAACAAGAAAAACAGCTTTAAAACTAAATAAAACTATTTTTATCGCATTTTAAATATTGGGTTATGTGATACTCCACGTGCCCACTCTAGTAACTTTTCTTGGTGCAACTTCCGCCAGGTTAAATCTGTATTATTTATTCATATATTTCCAAAGCCTGTTGGTGTTTTATTGATTATCTGTTGTAGTGAATAAAAAAAGCATTTTTTAAATTCAGATCAGAATTTCTGGATGCATTAAGAAAAGTAGTAGAAGTACCTTTCCTAGTTTTGAGAAACATTAAAATTTTTGTCTTTTTATATTATAAATCACCTAAAATAGCAGCCAGAGAAAGCCCATTAAATAGAACATTTAAAAAATAATATAGTGTAAAACATGTGTTCTAAAATGTGCAAACAAGCTCTATTTTTTAATCTGTTGCAGTTCTGGGTTTTTCCTTCTTATTTGCTATTTAGAGTGTATTTATGATTTCTTTCATTTCATCTCTAGACTATCTAAAAAATTAAGATAAGTATTTGCAAGAAATCGTAAGAACTAATTTAGTTGTTGTATGTTTCTAAAACTTTGGCTGGTATAAATTTTCATATATTATTTTTTTCATAAACATTTTAGAGTATTTTTATTAGAAAATAAGATGCTATAAAACAAAATTGTAAGTTAATATTTCTTGTAAATTTTTGCTTCAATATAGCAACAGAAAAATATGATTTTATATGTTCTGCAGTTAGCTGTACAGTAATCACTATGAAATAGTTATTTTTGTGATTAAATAAAACAAATGAAATCTTTTCTCAGTTAGAATACTGAGAAAAAGTTTCATTTGTTTTATTGAAAAATTCACTATTTTTATATATGCAGTAGTTTTGATAATGTCAGATATCTGCAAATGTTATTTTTTTAGCATGAAAACTTCAAAATAATGAAATTAGCTTGACTAATAAACTGAAAAAGTCTTAAAACTTGCATAAATACACTTATTTTGCTTGCCAGTTTTTTGGTGAGAATTTCCATTGAAAACATGGCCATGGAACATTTTATGGTCAAACGAGGTTGATTTTTTTCTTGAAGAAGCAATGAATACTTAGAACTGTCCTTTATGGAAGATTGCAAGTTCCAATGTTATGTATGAAAAACTGCATTCAGATTATTACTGTATAGTGTGGTTTTTACTGCTGACTTTGTTCTATACCCTTTTTTTCAGAGGGAGCACAATAGCACTCTTTTAGGCCATAAAAGGTATACCATCATGAGTACTCATTGCTGTAAACTTATGCAGCAACAGGTCATTCCTGCCTTATAAGAACAAGAATGTTTAGAGATTACTGTCTTCGTGCACGATGATGCAACACTGTTGGCTCCTAAGTGACAGAACTGCTTTGTGCTCCATGTCTCCAGACTTGAATCCATGCGATTTTTGGTGGTGGGGATGCCTGAAAGATCCTGTTTATAAAGAAGGCAGACACTATCTAAATTAAGTGAAAGCATAATAGGTCATGTTATTGGCATTTCTGAAGAAATTCTTCATGTTACTATTGAATAAGGCTGCAATATGCTTTGAACATATGATGATACAAATGGAGCATGCACTCAAATTAAATTAAAGTTTCATTGTTCTAGTTCTTTATACTCCATCTTTTATCCTGGTGATAAAAATTTGAAATATTATTTTTATTGCAGTTTTCTTTTCTCAATGGTCCTCTTAGAGTATATACCAAATTTTAAAAAATGCATCGAACATAACAGGCTCTACATAGATCTGAGTAGTGTCACTTTAATTATAACTACCCTGTTATTTTGTATTATAGATACCATTAATAAATGCATAGTTATATGAGATGCATTTTCCCGAAGTGTAGTAATATTTTTGCTTTACAAATTTTTGACAGTAAATAGTTACACCTTTTTCCTGCTGGGTCTGATGCATAATTTTGGAAATGCATTTGTAAATACCTTTTATGATCTTGTAAAATCCTGACATGAACATTTTCCCTGTAATTTTATTAAGAGTACTAATTTTGTTAAAATAAGGACTTTTATTTTTTTAAATAAATGTTATGAGAAAAATTATATATATTAAAAAAATTAATATCCTGCTATGTTTAAATACACAAGATGCTCTAAAAGAAGGAAATAAAACTGCATGAGGAAAACAATAATTACATAAGGTACAAAAAATAAGCAATTTCAAAATTATTGCTGATCACAAAAGCACTATGAAAACATATTTCCTTTAAAATTAATATAAAGATATATATTTATTTAAAATCCTGCTCTTGAAATATCAGTTTAAATGCTAATAATTTTTTAAAAAACATACTTACACATAAAATAAGGTTTCAAGTGAAGGTTTTCAAAAGGCAATATTCAAGCAAAGGCTGTTGCTAAGAATTAAATACATAGCCATATTGCACTTTTCCCAAGATATGCATAGACAGAAGATGTGCATAAATGCAATAATCTCTCTATGTATGTTTAGATTTCTACTCTCATTTTTTCCTACTTAAAATATAAAACTTCACAGTAGTTCAGTCAAAAGACTTTCAAACATTCTTCATAATGAAATAGCAAATAAAGTGGCTAAAGAAGCTTTAAATAGTATAAATATAGAAAGGCTTGTACACTGGCCATGATTGTAGCTTAAAAAATGCTTAAAAAGAAAAGATCATAGCTTAAAAAGAAACTTAAAACTTTATTAGAAATTTGTTACAAATTGCAAGAGAACAAGAATAACAGAAAACATGATAGATAAGTATTTGATTATATTCCAAAAAACTGATCTTAAATGCTAGATTTCTGCATCTCAGATTTCTAGATTTATTGTAAAATATGATCCCTTCTCAATATTTTATTATAATAATGATAGCACTAACATGGAGCACTTTTATTTGTTGAGATAAAATAACATAGAGCTAACTTCTGTTAGTACTTACTCTATATTAGCATGTACTAGAGCATTTTTATTTGTAGCTCTTCAGAACATTAAAAATAAAGTTGCATGTTAATAAACAGTGTCATTTAAAATTATTAAATTATAATATTAATGCATTTCAAAAGCTTATTTTTAAAAAAGATGCCTTCAAAAAATATGCAAAATTATGGACTTGCTATCTACATTAATGAACAATGCTTGCTAATCAACATAGTATCAGTTATCTTTTACTTACACTATACTACTTAGTTTAAATTTAAATATTTAATGTATATTGAAATAGCTTTGTTTCAAAAATACAAATCCCATCAGACACTTTTATATCTAATGTATGAAATTATATATCTGTGATCATTTCTCTGAAAATGATATGTTATGGGTATTTATTAAATGTCCAAATTATGCATCTAAGGTAATTTTAAATTGCTATGAAAGGAGTGGAACATAAATAGCTGGTTGTGATTGGGATATTTAATAAAGATTTCTGGTTGTATGGTCTACATGCTTTTTTAATATAACTTTCAAAATAAGTTTATATCTTTTTTGTCCTCATTAAAATTTTAAATCCATTATTTTTTTTAGCCAATTCATCTGCAGCCGGAGCTGGGGTCATATTTTTCTTAACCTTTGTGCCATATTTTTTCATATTACCAAGATATAACACAATGACTTATGTTGAGAAATTGATGTCATGTTTGCTTCCAAATTTAGGAATTGCTATGAGTTCCATTGTTCTTTCTGTTGCAGAAGGATCTGGTAATGTTGTTTTATGTTACTTTCATTACATTTTAACAAATTAATTTATTACTAATATTTTTAATTAGAACTTACTATATTTTTTACTATTAAAAAAATACTCATTTTCAGTATATTTTACAAAACTCTAATCAAATTTTATTAAAAGTGTAAATTTTTTTAAAGATTTTCTTGAGAAGAAAAGCAAAGTCTCCTTTCCTAAAATATTATCTTGGAGATCATTTTTAAATATATGTCTATTAAATAGGAATTTGCTATTTTAACTTGATTCAGTTTCAGTGTAATTCATTGCTGTAGTAGTTTGTTTTGTAATTCGTGCTTTAAAACTGAGCCAATGGCTCAATTCAGCATTAACACACAAATTTTAAAATTGTTTTGGAATTATAATTATTATCAAAGATTAATTAGTGATTATAACTAATCATACAATTACAAAATGTTGCTTCCATTCCATGTGAACAGGCAACACAGTTGTAAATCTGTAGAAATAAATTTGGTCTTCTTGCCTTAATAAAATATTTAGTAATGTGTTTCATTAATTTTAAAATTTGTCTGAAAAAAGGGAATATTTCTTAGTGCAAAATCCTTAAAATTCATATTGTGATTAAAAAGTTTGAAATAACTTTTTTTAACCATGTTGTGTAATAATACGGTTAAAAAGCAATTTTGTATGTATACTTTTATTGTATTAAAAATTAAGTAAGTTTATTTATTATAAAAAAGTGTTATATATAAATATATATAAGTATAGTATGTTTTATAGTTTATGATGATAAAATTTACTGAAAGAAAATAATTTTTAATATGAATTTTAAGTAAAGTTTGAGAAAATTTAATTATTTAATAGAAAGAAAAATTAAATTCTATGTTTATTGCTAAATAATATGATGATCTCAGTTTAATGATGAAAGATGTCATTGTCTATTCATACTTTGGTACTTTTTCATTTCGCTGGTGCAGGCGATAAAGTTGCCAATAATGGTACAACTGATGCCAAACGGATTATCCTCACTGGTAACCTTTTATGCCTCATTTTTAAACAAGTTGCAGCCATTTCTCATCAGATTGATTGTTTGTTTCAATACTGGCATACAATTACATAGAAGTTTTACTAGATAGTTCAGTTTTATGCCCTAAGGCCATTCGACTTAATTAAGTCAATTGGGATGCAATCACACTGCTCACCCGAAGACGAAAATATAGAAAAGGCAAAATCAATCATCAATTTTAATGAGAATGCACTAGCAAAATAAAGCACTTCGGTTTTACATAATTTCTGAGTAAGCTATTCATATGAATTGAAATAATTCTTGCATTTAAACTTGTATTCTAAATTAAGATTTAACTTGAAATTAATGTAGATAATTACTGAGAGAATTAGAATTTTGTAGCCTTCTTTACGTGAGATGAAATCACTTGGGGTCACATGATATGAACCACCAAATCATGATTTGAACCATGAAAGCATAGTAAATGCTTAAATTAATGTCTTTTTTATGAATTTATTGGCTTTTTACAGAATTTTAAACAATATTAAAATGTCTATGCCTTCAAAATAAAAAATTCTTAGAACTAACATTTGTTAACATTTTTTATGTGTATACTTTATGTTGTCGCCAATCAAGTCTGCTTGGTGAGATTTGCACCGGTGAAACAGAAAAGTACCCATACTTCTTGTGGTGTATAGTATTTGTTCTGTAGTTATGATACTTTGACATATTTCATTAACAAAGCGAAGATATGTTTTTGCCTCCTTTTTATTATTATTTTTATCAAAATTAAGGCTAAGAGATTATTTTTGTGATTTTATATTGGCTGCCTTGTTTTCTTTTTCTTTTTCTTTTTTTTTTTTCATATTAAACGTGATAATCAAGCATTTACCATATCTTTTAAATGAAAGAACTGTGTACTGCTTAGAACTCTATTAAATCATCAATCACGTCTTCTTATATACAGCTTCAGATGCACTCATTTGAAACACATGAATAAAATGAATGGTGTATAATCTGAAAGGGTAACACCATAGCTTAAAAACGTTTTCTTGATAATTCTTTGACTGAATTTTCTGTAAAAATGTACTTGTGTTTGTTTGGTAAATTTTCCACAAAGATTTTGTATTCAGTCTTCTTAGTCAAAAAAATTTGGTTTTCCTATTGAAGTCCCTAAGTTGAAAGTTATTTCATAATCATGAATCATCATAATATTGTGCAGTTGGAAATTATAAACTTTGAAAGTGAAATTCACGCTATTTGAAAAAGTAATCCCCAGAAAAGAAGGTGAAATTCAGATTATTTTGAGATCCAAAATTATAAGTTACATAGCAGATGCTTTTTTTCTCACTTAATAGCAAATAATTATATGCCACTGTATCATTTATTTTTAGGTTCAGGGTTACAGTGGTATAATATAGGATCTCCTGCTACTCCTGATGACACACTCAGTGTGTCATTAGTAATTACCATGTTTATTGTTGATGGAATTATTTGCCTCATTTTGACATGGTACATAGAAGCAGTTTTTCCTGGTGAATATGGTGTTCCTGAACCTTGGTATTTTCCTTTTACCGTAAGTTTTCTCTATCACTCAAAAATGTTTTAATTGCTCTCTTAATAATTTTTTTTTCCATTTTATCAATTGCATAATACAGTACAAAGGCCAAGATCGGATCTCTCTGGGACTTCAGCGATACAACGATTTGGGATTTTTCCAGATATTAGATCGTCTCTACTAAAATGACACATAAAAGTTATAAAATTGAAAATATGAAATAGTGATTTATGAATTAGAGAATCAAAGTTTACAAAAAGAAAAGGTTAATATTTATTTGTTTGTTTTGTCAAACATTTCTGTAAAAGCTTATTACTTAATTTTCTTTGTTTTTTGTGCTAGTACATTCGCTTTAATTCTATGGCTGACATAATTTCTTGTTCAATTACAAAGTTTTGTTATTCAAGTCCTGTAATTTCCGTGTGTCGAGAATTCCCATTATATTGCCATTCAAAGAATTTTCATGTTCAACAAATTCTCTGTCACTTTGTTCTCTATCAGTAGCAATATTTTCTAGATTTAGAACAAACAGATTTTGTCGACCATTAGTTGATTGATGATTGGGGCATTATTATCACCATGAAAAACTTCTGTCATATCATCTTTATTTATTAGCACCTCTCCAAACATTTCACTAACTGGAAGATTTCACTTTAATTTGAAATACTTGAAAACCTTCATATTTGGAGCTGGCATCATAAATCTTAGCACTATTGTTGATACTTCATGATCCTGGCAGCAACACATGTTATTCAGCTAAATTTTATCTTGTTTCTATTGCAAACTGGTGAAGTTAAGCTTGAATTATATTAATTTCGTTATTTATTGTATTTATGATTATTTCCTATGTATGCTTAAGGTTTATCTGAGTTCTGGATCCTGAATAAAAATATTCTCACATATACTTAAGTCTTATTCTGGTTGGCATTTTCTAGGCCTTGAATTTAAACATTTTGCAGCCTGTGCAGGTCCTAAATTCTACTGCTAAGTACCTTGCTAAATTTTAAAAGTTCTGCCACCCTTAAATTTTGCATCCCATTGCCATCCCTAAATTCTAAAGATTTTACCATACCTTAATTTTGTTGTTCAGTGCTTCTCTAAATTCTAAAAATGTTTCCTCATTTTCTCTGGCATCTGTCCTGGGCTTAATTGAATAAAAAACAGTTATTGCTGATTCAAATGGCGTTAAATGTAATCTTTTGCCCTATGAATATCATTTACAAAATCTACTTTTTGTGCATGGAAAAATCTACTTTTTGCATATGGAAAGAATTTTTTATTAAATTTCTCATCATCAACAGACTGAACACTTCACACCCAAGTTAGCTGAAGTTTATAATCATCACCAAGCGTAATGTCAACATAAAAGGTTACCATGCATTTTGGTATTCAATTACTAATATTAAAAAATATATATTTACACATCACTACATGAGTCATTTCTCAAGCTGCAGTGTGTTGCTAGTAGTCATGTAGTAATGAAAGCAAAAAATAATGAATAATGATTTGCCAGGCTGGTGTCAGTGTCGAAGAGAGATCATGTTGGATATTAGACATCCGTATTTTGGACTTTGTACTGTACTATAAAGCATCGCAATATCTAGTTATATTTATAGTTAACAATGGAAATTATTTAAAAATATGTACTCATCGTAATTTTGTGTATTTATACTTATATATTATATTTATATACACACTTTTGCAAAAAAATCGAAGCACCAAGAGGGACTTTTGCGATCGTTACAAAATTTGGTATGCAAAAACATCTTGATCGAAAATGCAAATGATCAAGATTTCAATGCAAACGAACAGGAATTGCAATCATAGTGCGCGTTTCTAGTGTACAATTCGCAAAGTATAAAACCAGTAACAGAGGTGGAAAATTTATATTTTTTTGTTGCTGCCAATGTAATTGCATAAAGAAGCAACTAAAAATGCCACTACGACGATATCAAAGAAATTACACACAACTAAACGACTTTGAACATGGTCGCATTGTAGGGTTGCGTGAAGCTGAGTGGTCATACCAAGCAATAGGCTGCCACCTGCACCGTACAGACACTGCTGTGCAGAAATGTTGGCAGCAATGGTTGCGACAAGGAAATTGCTGATGAAATGAAGGCTCTGGAAGGTTAAGGATCACAAATGCGACACAAGATAGGATGATTGTTCGCCAGGCCACGAAATGCCCCAACAGCATCATTGTCGTCTATTCAATGCACTACAGCCACATCTCTACCTCCCATGGTACCGTCCACCATCTCAGGATGCTTGTCTGAGGTGGGGTTATGCTTACAGAGGCCTTTAAGACATTTGCCTTTGAACCCCACAACATCGGCAGAGTCGTCTGGTGTAGTATCGCAGCCGATCATCATGGATGCCATCAGACCAATATCGTATAGTGTTCAGCAATGAATCCCGCTTCACTCTTGAAACAGATGACCACCCTGTTCATGTCTGAATACAGCCATAACCCTGGTGTGGGGCACTATTTTTTATGACAGCAGGTCATCTTTAGTCATCCTCCGTACATCTTTAACAGCTCAATGATATATTGACACCATCCTGCGGCCAGTTGCATTACCCTTCATGGTACATCATCCTGGGGCCATTTTACAACAAGATAATGCCAGGCCACTTACCACTCGCATATCTCTGGACTGTCTCTGTGCAGTTGATACTCTTCCTTGGCCAGCAAGGTTACCAGACCTTTCACCAATTGAGCATGTCTAGGACATAGTAGGGTGCCAGATTCGGACATCCCAAAATATCGCAGATCTGGATCGACAACTGATGAATGCCTGGCAGAATGTGTCGCAGGATGACATTAGGAACTCTACCATTCCTTGCCTCGACAAATTCAAGCATGCATTACCGCCAGGGGTGGTTCGACCAACTACTAATTTGAACACTCAATGGGTGATTGTAAGCCATGAACAGGTACTATGACCATGATTTTTTAATCATTTTATTATCTGTGTATGAGCTATGCACATATTCAATTTCATTAAAAACAGCCACTTCCTCGTGGTGCTTTGATTTTTTTGCAAAAGAGTGTATACAAAATATTTATATATAGAAAAACTTCATATATCAAAATATTTTAAAGAATAGAAAAAAAAAATTCTTTTAAAAAATTAACTTTTACTTTTTAATCTTTCATGTTAACTTCTAAATTGGACTAAATGAAGGTATGTGCAGTCTGATAAAAAATTAGGAATAATTTATTTCTTTTAAATTAATTTTGAGTATTATTCTTACTGAATTTCCATGCCTTCTTTTATTCAAAAATGTCTAATATTTATGTACTGTTTAATATTTATATCAGAATTTTTTTTTAAATACAGAAATCATACTGGTGTGGTCCTGATACAAATTATTCAAATATTATTCAGTTTTTTGATTCAAATGAAAAACAAGCAGAATTTTTTGAAGCTGATCCAGCAGAGTTAATGGCTGGTATACAGATTCAAGGTTTAACTAAAGTATGTAATGGATTTAATTTTTTGTAAATTTATTTAGCGTTATCTAGAATGCTTATTTAATCAGAATAATTATTAATAAAATGCTTAACTTTATTATTGCTATTATATTTTTAAAAAGAATTCAAGTTAATTAGGTCTAAAAGATTGCTTGTTTACACTTGAGCCGATAGCTGTAAATAGATAGATAAAAATAAATCTTTCATCTTTAGTTCAAAAATAATAGTTTACACATATAAACTTGAAATATTTTTTAAAGTAAATTTAGTTCAAATGTTAAAGTTAAGGAAATTGAAAATTCAGCTACTGTTTGTTCAAATTAAACATTATAATATAATTTATGTAACCTAAAATTTTAAATTATTTGTTAGAGAAAAAACTAAAATTTTAGTTTAAATGTGTAAGTAATTGAGCCTTAGTGATTATCTGCACCCCTCTCCAAAAAATTGCCACTGAGTGACTAATTTTTCAGCAAGCTAACATATAAAAGGCAAGAGTCATTTTGAAAATGTCATTGCATTAAGAATTCCATAAAAGAACAATGAGTTATTAAAATTAAAAAGGCAAGAAATATCTGTAAAAGTACACTTACCTTTTTCAAGAACTTACCTTTTATTACCTTTTTTATTTATTTATTTTATTATTATTTTCTCCTGCTCTTCTTTCCATATACACAGCAATCTGCTTTAAAAAAATCAGGAATTGCACAAATAAAGCAGTGTATACAAATTTTGATCCATAAAATTTAATAATTTATGAAGTTCAACATGATGGAATGAAAATTTTTACTAACTCGACTTTTTTGCCGACAAGATGGCATAGTGGTTCGGGGAGCCTACTGCGATACTGAAGGGCCCGGTTTCAAATCCTGGAGAAGTCATGGCTATAATTGTACATTCCTTCATAAAAGGTAATGTTGACCCATTATCAGGTGCTTCCACAATAAGCTGCCATCACTTCCAGTCTTAGTTGTGGGGAGTAATTAATAAGTCAGCTGAATGCCTACCAGTGGGAGGAGGAATATATCTCCTTTTGGACAAAATGCCTTATTTCTGAAGAAATGATCACTTTCTTTGTCACTGACATACTGTGCACTTCCATTATGATTTCCTACAAGAAAACAAAATAAGACCATCAAATGGGAAGGTAGAAATCCGTACTTGTCTGGTGCTTGCTGACGCATACCTGGTTTGCCATTTAAATACATTTTGGTGATATCATGAATTGTCTGCTTTGAGGATATAGTATGTTGCCTCGTGAATACTTTTCAGCAGAGTGTGGATAATCAGAATAAGACTTTTCTTTCTTTTCCAACAATGCATTATTTTCTGATGTCAGGTCACTAACTTTATCGGCTGAATATTTTCCTTTAAATAAGAATATAATTCTGAACTATTTTAAATTATTCACTTTTCAGTTAGTGTTGTATCATTATACCAATTCTTTGTTTTAAATATTATTAATTAATAGAGGCAGTTGAAACATTGCATAATTTATCAGCTGAAAACACAGAGAATAATAATAACTTCAGGTTATTATAATATTTTGTATTTAAAGCTTGACTCGCACCTTTACACTTATCATTTTGAAAATTAGAAGTTAATTTTTTGCATAATTTTTGTTTTTTAATTAATTAATTTATCAGTAGTCGTCTGAAGTCAGACTTTTACATTATAAAAAATTTTATGCAGTGAGTTAACAATGAATTAATTGTTAAATGAAGTCTTTGATGTAAAAGTAAGATAAAACCATATTTATGTTGCAATTTTTATTTCTTCCATATGTTAAATTTATCTGTTTCTTTAATTGTATTATCAAAGAAAGTCTAAAGACAAAATTGCTTGGTAGCATAAGACTGTGATCAGCAAAACTATACATATGTTTTGGGGTTACTGAAACTGTGCTATTTGCAAAATACCTGGGAAAATATACAAACTGAATGTTGGAATGAATTTTTTTGTGAAAACTGAGCTAAAATGTATATGAATAAAACATTTTGCTGGTAATCGTATAATTTCACTATTAACTTCACAATAATTAAGGAGCAGAATGTCCTCTTCCTGTTGTAATACATTATGCTTAAAAACTCTTGTTAAATGGAATCCTATATTTTTATCACTTCTCCGAAATATTTCTATCAACAATTAGTATTTTTTATGCTCTTTGTTGTTTTTAATTTTTTGTTGAATAAATTTTTATAATTTCATGTCTTCCTGTTGCTCAGCTGTTATAAGATGCTGTTTGAGAATACATATGCTAAACTGTTAGTATTTGACATACAGTGTTGAATAAGACAGCAAAATTTTGCAATTGTTGGCACAATATAATTTTAAAAAATGTAAGTTTACCATTGGGTAATAATTTATAAATGTATTGCTGACTAATTATCTGTTGTTTAATAAATGCTGATCACATAAATTTGCTAAATAAATAGTTAATAGTAGCTACATCTGTTTTATAGGAAGGCATTTTCAAAAAATATTTACCAGTCTGCGTTATTTAAAAATTCTTCGAGAAGTTTAAATGATATTTGAGATATTTTGTGAAATAATTTTATATTTTGTTCTGTGCAAGTTTTCTGTTTAACCTGATATTGAATTATATAATTTTTAATATATTTATTGCTGACCAATGATGTTTGTTGATTTCATTTTCATTTCTTTTCAATTTGTTTTTATGCATATGTATTGTAGATTTTTCAGTACACTGTTTGAGGCTGTGTAATAATTTTTTATTCAGTTATTAGTTTATTTTTGTATAATGTATTAATATGTTTTTTATTTCTATATAATAAAATACAATTATTATGTCATCGTATGCATTGATAAAAGTACTGCACTCAAATTAACATTATTTTAATCAAATTTGCTCTATAGTTTAGCTCTCTAGTTCTAAATAGTTCACTAGCATTTTTTGCATCCAAATTATTTCGTGCATTTGGATTGGAATTTACATTTTTTAATAATACAGGTATATGGAAAAGGAACCACTCCAGCAGTGAATAATTTGAATTTAAACATGTATAGAAGCCACATAACAGTATTACTTGGTCATAATGGTGCAGGAAAAACAACAACTATATCCATGCTTACAGGTAAAACAGCATCTTTTTTTTTTTTTTTTAATCAGTTGAATGTTATTTTTTCTTTGACCTTTGTTAAGTGAAGCATTTTTCACCACAAAGGTGCTATTTTGTTTGCATAGAAATATTTCAAAGAAATTAAATTGTAGTAAATTCATTTTTGTTTCCTATTAACATAAATGTTTTATATTTATTTTCTGATTACAATTGACTTATATAAAAATTACTTGGAAAGACATGGAAATTCTCTTGCAAATGATATTTTATAGAAAGTGTTAGTTAAAATATTATAATCTCATGAATCCATACATGAATTTACTATTTAATTGCATTTAAGCAAAATAAGGCAGAAGTTTGTTATTATTATTAGTAGCAGTAAAAAAGTAGTTTATATTTGTTAAAATATTTTATGTTAACATAAATATAAATTTCTCATTTAATTATATTTAAAAAATAGAAGACGGAAACATAATATCATCAAAATATAAAAGATTTTTTTATATTGATTTGATTAATGATTTCTTTACCAGCTTTTAAAAGTAAAAATAAAGCTGTCTTACAATTTAAAAATTTGAATTGCTATAAGTTATGAGTTTTAAAAATATTGTTAAGAAATAGTATTTTTAAAGAGAAAGTAGTAAAAATCTCATTTCCCCACACCCTTTGTTACGTGTACTGAAATTATTAAGTATTGTGAATATTCTTTTATTTATATGAAGTTTAATAAGATAAGTGACCACATATATTTACCAATCATTGTATAACTTTAAATTTCTGTTAATCTGTAAAGAGTTTTTAATATTATTTGTGTGTGTTTGAATCTGATTTTTATATATGTGTTGCTGGCAATTTATGAAAGCATGGATTTATATAGAATGCCTAAGCAATATACAGAATGCAGAAAAAAGGAGATCAAAGTATGAAATGATTAATATTTTATATATTTCCTATTCATTCTGTGCAATGCCAAACTGTCAAAGTATCTAATACTGTTATATTAATGATCTTTCTAATGTCAAGTGGTGTGGAGATTTTTGATGCTCACCTCACAGAAGATTGGCAATTTGCATTTCAGTTTTTATTTGGAACTGACAAAATATGCTATTTTGAATTTGTTCTGTAAAAACTAGTCCATACTGTGGTGTGTTTTCATACAGTTCTGTGTCAAAATGAAAGATCAAGGTGTAGAATCCTGGAAGGAATTAAGCTTGTTGAATTAAGCAGTTACTATGTGATGAGCTGTCTCAAATGAGAGCCAAGCTGCAAAAATTGTATTTCCTAACTGAAATTACTTACTAGAAGCTAGTGAAGAAAAAGCCTAGATGTCTATTAAGAAAGCACCACAGGATTACTTACTGGCTGCTGAATCGTTATGATGTGATATATGAATCAAAGAATGAAAGTAAACTAATTTATCCTGATTAAAGAAGATGTGCTATCATTCTACATCATGTTTTTTTTACAAAAACCTTTCCATGATTCTTTTAATGCTTTTCCTACATAGCATATGCCATTCCATATAATATGGTGCCTCGAAAAAGTATATATAATATTAAAATAATTCTGATATTTCATACTTTGACAAAAAGTGCGAGGCATTCTCTACATTACATAGTCATTCTATAGAATGCCTGTTTTTCATACATTGCTGATAGCATATATATATACATATTCTGTATGTATATGTAAGTATACAGACATAAATAGCATAAAATAATAACCATCCATTCTGCATGCTCCGAAAGCTGCTATTGCAGAAAGTTTGAGAACAAACTAAATGCAATTGAACAAAATAAATAAAATAAAGGAATAAAAAAAATAAATACAATAAATGAACAAAATAAATAAATACAATCAAGTTCTCAGTATCTCAGTATCAGTTAAAAAAGGTAAGAGTTTATTGAAAAGGAAAATATCAGATTTTAACAAAAGTTTCCCACTACCACAAATATCATCTGCGCAAACAGTTTCCATGACATGCTTAATCATACTTTGTCAAACGATTTTTGGTCTTTGAAAGAAAGAGTCTTCCTTTAGAGCATTGTGGTGTGAAATTTGTAAAAAAATATCATTAAGCTCTCTGAAGCGGAACTATCATACTATCAGATTCGAAGCATCATTTACTTCCAGTTCTGTTGCAAAAAGTGAGCCACAAAATTTCACCAAATCATGTCTATAGCTTTAGGTACTAATGTTGTATTATATGGCACTGTGAAGGTTTAGTACCAAAAGTTCAAAAACAAAGGCTGTGACATTCTAGAACGAGAGCGCTCTGGATGCCTTACTGAGGCTAATGAGGCCCATCTGTGAGAAACTTATGGAAGAAAATCAGTATGCACTCAAGAGCTTGCTAAGGAGTTAGACGTTAGTGCTATGTCCATTAGTCATGCTATGCATCACATAAAACTTGACGTACAAGTTCAATCACTGAGTCCTGAATGAGCTGGTTCAAACAGATAAGGCCGGATGTGTTTGGGCCTGCACTAATCTGCTCGGATATCAACGCAAGGACAAAATTCTGGACCGGATCATCAGTTAGGATGAAAAGTCGATTTACATCAACAACACAGGTAAAAAAGAAGGTTGGTCTGTGCCCCGTGAGCTTATCGGCAATGTCGCAAAGCACAGTTTGACTAATAAAAGATAATGCTTTGTATCTGGTAGGATTGCCTTGGTATTACCCACAAAGGTTATCTGGAAAAATGTAAAACCCTTGCCAGTAAAATGCACAGTGAGATGCTAGTCCAAATTCACACTGCTATCAAGAAAAAACATCAAACTGAGTTCTGGCACAAAAAGATCAAAAATGCATATTAGCATAATATAAATAATATATATCAAAAATACAAAAAATGATTCAAATAAAAACTGCTAAAAATTTTTTTACGCAGTAACTTGAAAAACTAATATGTGTGAAAAGCCTAAAAAGGCCAAATGAACTAATTACAATCACATACAACTAGGGAAACCCTGATCAAAACAAGCAACAAATTAAATTGGTCAGTATTTTAAACCTAAGAAAGGTAAACCTAAAAAAGGGTGGCTCAAATGTGTATTAAATTAGCTTTAATCTGAATTTAAAAAAAAAAAATAATTACAGATAAACTTTGTAACAAAATGCTTCAGAGATTGCTCGAATTGATATTAAAAGCTTAATAAAATAAAAAAAGAAGTTCCGTCAAATGTCTTCTTGATCTGCTTAATAAATTTAGTTCTGAATTTTCAAAATATTTCATAATATTTTAACTATTGAACCCTAAAATATCTGTTTTTCCCCCTTTAGGTTTGATAACTCCAACTTCTGGTACAGCCATAGTGAATGGTTTTGATATTTGTGAAGATATGGATAGTGTACATTCAAATTTGGGAATTTGCCCTCAGCATGATGTATTGTTTGATGAATTGACTGTAGAAGAACATTTGTATTTCTTTTGCAAAGTATGATATTTTTGAATTGTTTACCTGCCTCAGTGCTACATATGCTATATATGCTTATGTGCTATATATGCTATTTAGTACAGTAAAAGTCCAGAAATCCGCAAAACTTGGGACCAGAGGTTGTGCAGATTTTAGGATTTTGTGGATTTCAGGACAGAAAAGATAAATCATAATATTCGGACTAAAAGTGCAAAATAAATAAGGCGTATAAGATACATTTAATTAAATTATTATATACATTATTGCAATAACTTATTATATGCCTTAAATTAGTATTACTTTATATAAATTGATTATATTATTCATTGTATTATATATACACAGCATCGAGGTTTGCCGATTTCACCTCATGCAAAGATTTCCGGTGTTAGAATCACTGTTGCTGTAAAATTTCAACAGCTTTTCTTTATTTTTCCGTATATCATAAACAATTGTATCGCAATTCCATACAATTCTGCTATAAAATGCACCTATCTCCATCTTTTGCAGAATTTGTACTTTTTGCATTACCATCAATGCAACGTGTTTACGTTTTTCAACGTTGCAAGCCATACAATCATGAGTGCTTTTCTTATTTGTAATTGTATTAGAAAAGGATTGAAATTTAAAAATATTCTTAATTTATCCACAAAATATCTGGATAAAAAAAAAATTCAGCACTAAATAATCTCGTGAAATAACAAAGCTTAGAAAATACAACGGGAATCGTGAACTTGAAAGAAGAGTTGAGTGAATCGTCTGCTTTCTCACCTCTATGCAAATTAGAGGAGAAAAAACTTTTAGCATGATGTCAATAAGTTGGTATTTCCATTATGACTCATTATTTTTCGGTAATTATGACATCATTATTCGGTAAGTATTTTTCTTCAATATTTCATACTCAGTGTTGCGGTTTCCAGAACTTATAAACTGAATGTTTATAGTAATTCAGAAGTCAAACACCAAAAATCAGCGTTATATTTTGAGAGGCAACGCGTGAATGTTTATATTTTGAGAAGTAACGCGAATTTCAGGAGTTAGCGGATTTTTGGTATTTGACTGTATAATATTTTTTATTGAATACATTATTTTGTTAAGTGTTTTTATCCTATGCCATTAAACTATTCAAAATCATATGGGAAATTTGTACATACTTTTATCTTGATTTATTTGTATGTATAAAAATGTTGCACCAAATAATATCTTTCTAAAAATTATTCTGTTTGTATTTTATGAATGATGGTTTATTTTTCCATTTTGCAAGAAATAGCTGTGATTTTTCTCAAGTCTTAATTGTTTCTGGAACCTCTTCCTTATTTGTGTTCCAGTGGTTAGTTCTAAGCCAAATCTTTGTTTTTGTAGACTTAATTAAATCAAATCCTTCCTACAAATTTCATTTTAGAGCTTTTTTTCTAGGAGAGATTTTGCATTGTCTGATAATATGCCTCAATTTCTTTTCGTTATACACATTTTCTATAAATATCTTCCTTTTTCTCACATACATTGTAAGCAACACTGATTATACCACTTGTGTTTAAAAATGAGTTTCTAACTCTATTGAAAAATGTGCATTGTAAAAAATGCACTGTGTATTTTTTAATTCTATTAGACTATGAGATTTTTTTATTCAAAATTAATAATTTGTTCATTAAAGAAGCATTAATGTATAATTTTAACAGAAAGTTATAGTGGCTTAAAATATCAGGTAAAATTTTTTTGTAGTCTTGCTCCTTTTTCTTATTGCCTTTAATATAACTCAGCAAGTTTAAAACAAGATAATGTGTAAAATTTGTATTCATGCCCAAGGAGAGTGTATCCCTTATTAATTAAATTTTGTATAGTTTCTGAGATAAAACTTAAAATATTTGTTTTTACCATTTGTGATGTAACATTAAAAATGTGCATTGCTCAATTTACAAAATATATATTACTGTGATTTCATTTGTGTGCAGCGAATTCATCGAGTTCTGCAATTTCGTTCATTAAATCATTCTTCGAAACAAAATAAGCAAAAAATTATTAACTTAACTTGAAGAGGTATGTAATCAAACCCATGTTTATTTTATTAAAATAATTTATATTTTTTAATAGCTAAAAGACTACATAGCTGATTTGGTACAATCAGAAATAGACCGTATCATCAGTTCTCTTAATCTTGAAGAAAAACGGTATGCAAGAGCACAAACTCTTTCAGGAGGGTGGAAACGGCGTCTATCTGTTGGCATAGCACTTGTTGGAGGATCAAGAGTATGTTATTCTATTTCACTAAATATCTAGTTATGTTGCATTTACATAATTTTTAATAAAAGAATTTTCATAAATGTTTTTTTCTTATATTTTAATGTTTAAATAGCTAAGCATGAAATTAAATAAGTATTTTACCAGTTTCAGTTCAGAAATTTATAGCATTACTTTTTTCTTCCTTTTTTTTAAAAGTAATAATAGTAATTGATATAATTTCTGTCATGTGGCCTAAATAAATTTTAAGTATAACTTATTCATAGAAGCTTGACAATTTGAATAGAAAGACAGTGATAAGCAAGTGCTGAAAGTTTGAATAGGTAAGGAAGAAAATAAACTTATACAGTTAAAGCATTTAAATTAAAAAATAAATAGAACTAGATTTGGTATAATAACTGTGTCAGTATTTGAATAACAGACAGCAATGCTCCGCTGCCCTTCCCACAGAACCATTGAGCCATCAGGCACTTAGTAAATTTAGCACAAGAAGAGAAATGGATTATGTGGATATAAAAAATATTCCTGTAGCAAACTGAAATCCTGAATAATTTAGAATTTGATTAAATAATAAATGTAATGTTAAATTAGATATTGATGAAAACGACATGATACACCAAATTTTTTCTATTAAATTTATTTGAAAATGTAGCTATCTAGCTTCTTAATGTTTGTATGACATTAAAATCAATATGAGCTGTGGAATATTCAGAATGTTATTTTAAATTTCTTTTGAGGAAAATATTTAAATAAAATACTGGAAAAATATGAATGTAACATTTACAATTCTAACTTATGGATTGAGTAGACATGTGAGAATTACTCATAATTATTGCACAAAGTGATAGATTGCATATTTTAAAACATAATATGTGCAAATGTAAAGGAAGTTTTATTAAAAAATCTTCTTTCAACTATGCTTCAGAAAGTTAACTAAGCGATAAAAGATATACATCTGGATAATCTCTGGTTATGTTTTTCCCCCTCCTACCCCAAGATAAACAATTAAATTTCCTATAATTTGAAGAAGTAATATTCTTGAAATTTTCTATTATGTATATTCTGATAAATCAGAAGTACTTCCAGTTATAATGTTGTTGTTAAAATTATTGTGAATTGAGCACATTCTTTCCTAAGCTTGCACTTTCAACAGCTGAGTGTACATATGATGACAGATGATTATTACAATCCATGGTTGACATCTAATTAATTTGTTTGCATATTTACAATTAATTTTTATTTCTATCATTGTTTGAAACAATGCATCAGTTTATATATTTTACAGTACAGGTGCGGCATTTCTTCAATGTGTTGTTCTCTCTTGAGGATTAGGCTAAAATGCTTCTTACTCTTAGATTTTTCAATTTAGGCAAAGTACATTAGCGTTATCTGCCTAAGCTCTCACCCAGTTTGAGTGAGAGGCTTCCGGGGAATGGGATCCAAGGATCTGGTATTCTTTAAGAGAACTTCTAGCTCAGCAGATTTAAGGGTCATCATGTTGCAGACATTATAACCACAAATGCCTGGAATTCAAACCATATGCACTGGCATGAGAGTCCATCAATCTAACTGCCATATCATGTGGAATGGTTCCTTAGTTTTTTGTGCGTCAAAGAGGTGGAAAGTCTAATGTGGGATTCAGATTATTGTACATTATTTAGCAATAAGTATGTAATCTAGGTATAATATATATTTATTATCACTTAAAAAAACCATAGTGTAGTTTTTTGTGTACTAATTTGATTAAGAGAATAATAAGAAGATAGAATTGTAATAAATAAAATAACTGAAAAGAAAGAGACTTCATAGAAAATTGTTTGGTTTAATATTGGTAATAGCTTACTGCTCGTCATTTAAACTAGACTGTAGCTGCATATGTTACCCAAACATGGCAATTAATAAAGCTTTCATTGTTAGCTGTTATAAGTCTTGGACTGTATTCTGCAGAAGTATGGGGGGGTGATTTTTGAAGTTCTTGTAAAATTATGCTTTCTTGATTACTTGTGAGTTTGAGTTTCAAGGCAGCTAATTTCAAATTCCTTTATAGGTAGTGATATTAGATGAGCCAACATCAGGAATGGATCCATTTAACCGAAGGTCACTATGGGATGTACTTCAATCAGAGAAAGAAGACAGAACTATTTTGTTGACTACTCACTTCATGGAAGAAGCAGATGTTCTTGGAGATAGAATAGCTATAATGTCTAATGGGGAAATTCAGTGTTGTGGTTCTCCTTTGTTTCTGAAGAAAAAATATGGTAATTTTAAAACTTTACTTTTCTAGTTGAATAAATTACTGTTTAGTAAATTTCATGTCATAAAATAAAGCCAAATCATATTAGTGCTCCATATCCTTTGCTTTTGTATTTTTGCTACATTTTCATTTTGCTGGCTTCCAGTTGATAAGGATAAAGCACCCAAATGGACAGTATTTCAAAAAGTGGCCAGAAATTAAAAATAAATTGATAATGAATTATTTATAAATGGAGCCATGTATGAAGTGATTCTTAAAAATGATTTTGCATTGATTATGCCAGTATTCACTCTAAACGTGAACATGCACAAACACATCCTTTTTTTATGCTTATGTCAAATCTTAAATTGTGCAGATACTTTTACACCTTATAATTATATTTCTGCTGTAAAAAATCAGAAAGAAAATTAGTAGTTTTCTTCTAGACTAAATTTTATTTGGGCATTTTATTGTTTCCATAATGGACACTTTTTCCCCTGTATAATAGCCATGATGATTGAGGCATTTGTTTAAAAGCAAGAGAAGCTGCTCTATGTTAATCTCTTGACATGTAATGTCCTTTGCATTGTCTTTGCTGTTTTGACATCCTTGTCACTTAGAAATCTGCAAGCAGTAAGATTTATTTTTAGAAACCTGGACAGAAGTAAAAATCGCTTGCTATGAGATTGAGAATGTACAATAAATGATCCAAAGTCTCCCACTGAAAATGTTGTGCCATTTGCTTTGTAATAACTCTTCGGCTCTTGTGCTAGGTAATTTTTTACTTCTGAATTCTAAAAGAATGTCTACAGCTATGTGTACAAACTTGAAAACTTGATAATAACAACTACCTAACATTTGTCCTATATAAACATTTCTCACTTCATTCATGATATGCTAAATGTGTACTTTAATTTATGCAAATTAAAATAATTATAGCTTTCTATTCATTAGAGTCATGGACTGATTCTTTGTATGTTTATTATGGTAAAGTTCACCTATATATAATTATTTTAATCAAATTCTCTAAATTTTGCAGTTTTTTTAATGTAGTAAAGTGATATAATTTTAAAAAGGTAATTGTTGTTTTATTAATAATTTAGAGAGCTTTCATTAAATTATATTGATGCATTTTAATGAAGGTTGGAATGCATAAAAATTCAATTATTTTACTCAATAACCAAGTACTTTGTTATTAATGAAATTCACTTTAAGTGAATGTAGCTATAAGTATTTAATAGTTTCACTTACTGCAGTAAATTAGAATACCATATTTATTTGGGTAATAACATATTGCTTTTGTCAATAGTAAGTCTCAGTCAGGAATTTGAAATTAGAATAGAGTAATGTTACTTCTCATTTCAAAAATGTCTTTTGTTGCTGAGAACTGCCGTACAGTTTCTGAGGATGCTGAGAGCGTAAGTGATCTTTCTAAGCCTAAGTCTAAGATCTTTCTATTATAAAATTTAAATTTATACATTACCAGTGAATTTGGTCTCTGAAAAAAGCAGTTTGAGTTCTATAATTGACTAATATTCTATGAGTCATTTGGTTTCTATTAAATAAAAATTTCCTGTTATATTAACATGAAAATTGATTATGGCTAAAGAAAGTTCTTACCAAGAAGTTAGATGATGAGTAAAGTTGTTTACCTAGTTTGACCTAAAGGCAGAACTTCACACTGAATTCTTATGAAGAATCTGAAGGAGTCCCATATAAAAAACTCTTAAATTTATTCTGTCATGTGAAGATGTAGGAAGTCTGTTTTAATCTTAGGAATCAATAAGAATTTAACAGTTACAATCCTCTTTTAGTGGAGTTCCCTTTTGTATTATCGTATTTCACTCAATCTTGTATACTTGTTCAGCAGTTTGATGTAGAAATCTCATATCTAAACCATTTGCACAAAACACAACTGGCTTTCATAGCACCTAAAATTCTGTTGAAGTCAATTCATTCATAATGCAGGCTGGTGCCCAAAATTTTATTCCTAAAATTGTATACCATTGTCTAGAAATTAGCCCTATTTATAGATATTGGGTATATAATGTCTTTTCATATAACATGATATTGATGATCTGCATATTATTGTAAAGATATGCGTAGTAAATGTTTTTAATTAGTTTATGTTTTTAACTGAACGTATATTATCTGCGTTGTTCCTCATATGGGCAGATATTACACGAAAAACTTTTGGATTTTATAAAAAATTTAAGGATAGCAATATTTTGCCACACATAAAGATTAACATTATAAATAACTTCATTTCTGTTAAATAGTAAGGTAAGGCAGTTCTGTTATTTAGATTATCGTGTGATTTCAGATTTATGTGCAGTAAAATGTTAAATTATAATTTCTATATAAATACAATCATATAGTTTGTCTCATTTTTCTGGTCGTAAAAAATACGTATTTTATTGCAAGATCTATTAAAAATATTTAATGTGATATATGAGTTTATAATAAATTATTTGTGCTTTAACTGCACAGCTGTTCCAATTTGATGTAAATTTATAAAATTTAAATTCATTTTATAAATGATGATATCCTTAAAGTTTGTTAAATTTTCATTAATGAATATTGCAAACCTGCCCAAAGTTTAAAATAAAGGGTGGTTATAATTAAATTTATTGAATTTAGACCTACATAGAGTCTGTTCTGGTAGACCTGTTTCATTGAAACTTGGTATATATGTTATATAATCCATGGATTAAAAAAAGTAGGCATGAAGTAGTGCCTTTATTGGTTCAGAAATGTGAGGTGGTATACCATCTTGCATGAAGAGACAGTAGTCTCTGAATATTTTCATTCTTATAAGTTAGGAATGACTTGCTGTTGAAGAAGTTCACTAAAGGACACTTGTAATGGAATCCCATTGAGGGCCTAGCGAAGTGTTCTCTTCAAAGAAAAAGAGGCCAGGAATGAAACTAGCAGTAAAATCACACCATACATAAATGTAATCAGGATGCAGAGACTGTTGATGCACAGTATTAAGACTTGCAGGAGGCCATATGTGACAGTTTAAGGTATAAACTACCCTATCTGTGGTAAAATGCATCTCATCCAATGACAAAATGTTAAAAGGTCGTGCATTGTCAATAACTGTTCTGGCCAAAAGGAAGCTAGCAAAACTGGGTCAGCAGAATGCAGCTCTTGTAAAGCTTCAATCTTCTATTGATACCACTTTACAATGAAGCACGACACTGCTGAAACACTTATCAAAGAATATTGGGAACCAGATGCTCTTTTGACCATGGCAAAAGCAACTTTTTCCAGTTTCATTAGAAATCCATTCCCATCTTCTTCCTCACAACACACATACTCCCTAGTCTCTTCAAAGTTAGTAACCTTCTTTTTCAAATCCTGCCTTGACACAGACCTTTCAAGCACTGATATTCTCACAGTGCCGTTGCAAAATTACTGCCATTCTGATAAAACGATTTAATCAGTAAAGCATGATCTTTTCTATCTAAAGGCATGGTAAATAATGATTTTACAGCATTGACTTCTGGCTTTTTAAAATGCTCCAGATTTGCATAATGTTCTTTCTACTTAAAAATATTGTTTTTATTCCAGTTTTCTTTTCCCCATGGGCATATACACTGAAATGACAAAAGTCATGGGATAGCAATATGCAATATACAGATGGCAGTAGTATCACATAGAAAATGTATAAATGCGAAGTGCTTTGGCAGGGCTTTCATTTGTGTTCAAGTTCTTCATGTGAAGAGGCTTTGATGTGATTATGGCCACACGACGAGAATTAACAGACTTTGAACGCGGAATGGTAGTTGGAGCTAGACGCATGGGTCATTTCATTTCGGATATCGTTAGGAAATTCAACATTCCGAGATCCACGGTGTCAAGAGTGTGCCGAGAGTATCTAATTTCAGGCATAACATCCCACCATGGACAGCGCAGTGGCCGACCACCTGCACTTAATGACAGAGACCAGCGACGTCTGCGTAGAGTTGTCAATGTTCACAGACACTGCGTCAAATAACCACAGAAATCAATGTGGGACGTACAAGCTACGTGTCCGATAGGACAGTGCGGCGAAATTTGTCTTCCTATGGAACAGCAGAAGACCGACTCGAGTGCCTTTACTGACAGCACGACATCACCTGCAGCAACTTTCGTGGGCTCGTGAGCATGTTGGTTGATCCCTAAACGAATGGAAAACCGTGGCTTGGTCAGATGAGTCATGATTTCAGTTGGTAAGAGCTGATGGTACGGTTCGAGTGTGGTGCAGAACCCATTAAGCCATGGACCCAAGTTGTCAACAAAGCACTGTTCAAGCTGGTGGTGATTCCATAATGGTCTGGGCTGTTTTTACATGGCATGGAGTCGGTCCTCTGGTGCAACTGAACCGATCATTGACTGGAATTGGATACCTTCAGCTACTTGGAGATCATTTACAGCCATTCATGGACTTCACGTACTCAAACAACGATGGGATTTTTATGGATGACAATGCGCCATGTCAGCGGGCCACAATTGTTCGCGAATGGTTAGAAGAACATTCTGGACAATTCCAGCGAATGATCTGGCCACTTAGATCGCCCGACATGATCCCATCGAACATTTATGGGATATCATCGAGAGGTCAGTTCGTGCCCAAAACCCTGCACCGTCAACACTTTCACAATTACGGACGTCTATAGAGGCAGCATGCCTCAATACTCCTGCAGGGGACTTCTAACGACTTGTTGAGTCCATGCCACGTCGAGTTGCTGCACTTCGCCGGGCAAAAGGAGGACCAACAAAATATTAGAAGGTATCCCATGACTTTTGTCACTTCAGTGTAATGTAGACACCAAGCTTCAACGAAATAGGTCTACTGGAACAGGCTCTACATATGTCTAAATAGGGTAATTTTAACTGCAACCACCCTGTACATGTTGTGTTTCCACAGAAAAGATGACTTTTTCTGTATTTTATGAATAATATAGAATTTTGATTTATTACAAAAAAAAATTAAAGTGAGAATTTTATAGGAAAAGTACATTTGATGAAAAGAGATTTAAAATGTCATATTTTTATGTATAATTCTTAGTGAAAAAATAATATATTTATCTTGTATTTTATTATGTAAAATTTTATGTATGTATTTTATTCTGAACTTTTTCTTTATTATCTTCTAGGGGCTGGCTATCATTTGGTTATGATAAAAGAACCATCGTGTGAAGTATCAGTGATTACCGATCTTATATTATCTCATGTCCCAAATGCTGAAATGTCCAGCAATATTGGAAGTGAATTAAAATATGTTTTACCTCATGAAAGCAGTTATTTATTCCATGGTTTGTTTTCTGAATTGGAAAAAAAGAAGGAAGAATTAAAGATTTCTGGGTATGGAGCATCAATAACAACAATGGAGGAAGTTTTTATAAAGTAAGATGCATACAATTTTTTATTTAACTTCAAAAGACTTAATTCTCTGTTTCTAAAAAATATGTATCCAAAATATTTAACTTAATCTAATTTCATCATCTCATGCTTGATCTCAGCAGTATACAAGACATCTAAAAAAAGAAAGGTTGCATACTTTATTTCCTTAAATATTGATTCTGGGTTACATTTCCAGCCGTAGAATTTTTAAAAAAAATCAGTGATTGTAGCTTTTCTGCTAAAATATACTTATGGAATATATCAATTGATGAACATACATTTTTTATACCTTTTGCAGTGCATTCAGGTTAGCTTTGCCATGAGTATGATGTTCTTGTATCCACTACAAAAGTATTAATTGTCAACAGGAGTTACTTTAATTTAGTAGTTGTTCCTCTAGGATTGTACCATTGAAATATGATTTGCATAGTGATCTATGTCAGTAAATATGTTTTGCAATAGCTTTGTGGATTTTGTATATGAAGTATGAAATCTCATTTGATTAAATCATTAAACTATAACAAATATTTTACTAGCTAGATTTTTTGCTCTGCACATGCATATAAAGTTTTTTTTTTTTTTTTTTTTTTTTTTAATTTCAAAAGTTCCATTTCCAGTGATCAGCTGTTCTTATTATGTTCTTTTAAAATTTTTATATCTTGAAATGTATATCTTAGATTAGCATTTAAGGGAATAAAATCTGTGCTCATTATTTTCAAACTCCCTGCATATATGCAGTTAAATTAGAACCTAACAAGTCTTTACATAATGAAGCATCAGATGAACTTTTTTCTGAATCCTTTGAACCTGATTTATTAATTCATGTTACCTTAAACATTTCATATGAATATAAATTATTTATCAGTTTTCTAGTCCTTTTTCCCAGTGACTCTTTTCTCTGAAAAGATTTTCACCCTTCCGTGTTAAAATAAGGACTATATGATAATATCTGGTGTTCTATTTATTACTAGTGCTTTATGCAAATATTCAGTAATGTTTCCACAAACATACATTGAAACATATGGGAAGACTAAAACGAAAATTTTGTGGCAGTTTATTAGACATTAGAAAAAAGAAAAAAAAAAAAGATTTCATAATGGAATTCATAGTGAGATATAAGCCAAAGTTTTTCAATACCAGACTGCAGGAATAAAGAATACCACATCAATAAATGACTTAATTTTGGGGCAGCAGAGCAAAGCCCAGAAATGCTTCAGGCTTGAATGAATTGAACATTATGTAGATCACAGAAATCTTCTGGGATTGGAAGCTTTGGGCAAAAGAGCAGAGCTCAGATCTTTTCCAGGCATACCACTTGACAGGTTAAAAATGAAGTAATGATTTTTCATTAATTTTTTTTTAATATTGTGCTATAAAACAAGCCTGTTTCACAGACATTAAATACGTTTATTTAAATAACTTTTTTTATAAACATGGTAATTTTTGTGTTTTTTAGATTTGCTCTATTTCTTCATTGACTGCTTTTGATTCATCTCTAATTATAATCAGATAGATAACTAAATCAACATTTAGAACTAATTAAATGGTGCAGGGATGCTTTAAATATAAAATAATGTTAATCTTATCTGCCAGAATCACTGATTTCTTTTAAAGTACAGATCTTGAAATGAGAATATTTATGGCTGATTGTTATTGAAAACATGTTGTACTTTGATTCTAAACTAATAAGTGGACTGTATAGCAAAAGAACTAACTAATTTATTTACAGTAATTAACTATTTAGATCTAATACATGCTCTGGCATGTTGCTTAGCCGAATCCAGATGGCCAAGTGAGAGTTCTTCACTTATCCAATAGGTGGCACTGTATTCTAACTTAACATGCCGCCGCCCGTTGAAATTACAAATTTCAACATACAAATTACTAACATACATACAATTTAACAATCAAGAAAACTAATTCTCCAATACAATATGAAAACTAATAGATAATCTTTCATCATGAATATAATATAAAATAATGCAACATTTTAAAAACTTAAACATTCACTATGCTACAATCGAACTTATTCTTCAAACAGTTCCATTTTTATGTAAATCACAATTTTCAATAAGAACATAATGTAAACTAAGCATTATTATCCTGGATAGGTAATAAACAAATTTTACTAATACATCGAATATACACAACCATTTGATGTTTTCACTTTAACAACTCTGGCCTTATTATCTTTACCAGGTAAAACTTCTAGAATTCTTGCTAAAGACCATTTAAATGGCGGAAGATTATCTTCCTTTAACATAACTAACATACCTGCCTTTAAATTTTCTTTATTAATAAACCATTTGGTGTATTGTTGTAGATGATTTAAATAATCAGTTTGCCAACGTTTCCAAATAACTTGAATGAACTTGGTAATAACTTGCCATTTAGAAAGTCTATTATCTGTAAGATGAGACAAATCTGGTTCAGGATATGAAGTAATGGAACGTCCAATTAAGAAATGACCCGGCGTTAAGGCTTCAAAGTCATTTGCATCTGTTGATAAGGGTAAAATTGGACGAGAATTGAGAATACCTTCAATCTGTGTGACAACAGTCCAAAATTCTTCTAAAGTTAATTTATAACTGCCGATTGTACGCTGAAGATGGTATTTAAATGACTTAATACCTGCTTCCCATAAACCACCGAAATTTGGTGCTCTAGGTGAAATTAGTTTCCAATTTATACCTTCAGATATTAAGAAATCTGCTATATCAGAATTAGATTTAAGGACTAAACTAGGCAATTTTTTCAGTTCTGATTTTGCACCAACCATATTAGTACCATTATCTGACATTATGGTATTACATTTTCCACGTCTAGCAATAAATCTTTTAATAGTAGCAAGTAATGAATCTGTGGTTAAATCAGTTACTACCTCTAAATGTATTGCTTTAGTAGCTAAACAAATGAATATAGCAACGTACACTTTTTCATAATTACCCTTTCTCTGATTTTTATACTTGATGAGGAATGGACCAGAAAAGTTGAGTCCACACGTATTAAATACAAACCCTGGGTTAACTCTCTCACTAGGTAAATTTCCCATAAGTTGTTCACATACAATTGGTTTAACCTTAAAACATGTTACACATTCATATACAACCTTTCGAGCTATATCTCAACCATTAATAACCCAAAATTTACTACGAACCTGATGCAATAGTGCTTGAGCACCAAGATGTAAATATTTAACATGGTAATACTGAAAAATTAATCTAGTAAATACATGATCTTTTGGCATTACATAAGGAAACTTTTGGTTGTAATTAAGATTACTGTTGGCAAGTATGTCTCCTACTCTCAGAAGAGAATCATTATCTAAAAATGGACATAAAAATTTTAACTTACTTTTGGAAGAAACACAATTCTTATTTTTTAAAGATAGAATATCTTTGCTAAAATGTTGTAACTGTACAGATCATGATTTTCTCAGCGTCATCCAATTCTTTAACTGTTAGTGAACGTATTAAATTTTTTCCCTTACAATTGGCTATAAATCTACAAACAAAACTTAACACATGAATAATACGAATATAGTTATTACTAATGTTAAGAATATGATCTAAAACAAGAGAATTAAAGTTCACATTTAGATTAACTAAGTCATTATCCTTAAGTTTGAGTTCTTTGACGTATTCCACATCATCCATATCAGATGAAATTACTTCACAAGGATTAGTCAAAAACCTCTCCTTAGTCAAGAAAGTTGGTCCACACCACCATAAATCATTATGAAGAAGATCTTTAGGTTCAGCTCCACGTGATATCAAATCAGCTGGATTATTGTGAGTGCTAACATGGTACCACTCATGAACCGCAGTCATGCTTCGAATAACAGATACTCTATTAGCAACAAATGTCTTTACTTGATACCGTTCCTTCTTAATCCATGCTAACACTATTGACGAATCAGTGAAGTAATACACCTTCACTATAGGCAGCTGAATGGCCTCTAGTATTCTTTTCATTAGTTTTACCAACAGAACTGCACCAGAAAGTTCCAAACGAGGAATGGTAATTGACTTCAGAGGTGACACATGAGACTTGCTGCACAGAAGTCTTGATGAACATTCATTTGAAGATGACATACATTTCACATAAATTGCAGCACCATAGGCTTCTGACTAGCATCACAGAATCCTATAATTTCTATTTGTTGTAATCCATTGGTTAGAACAAATCTGGGGATGCGATAATTGTTGACTATTTTCAGACTATGCAGAAATGCCTTCCATTCTTCAGAGTAATTTTTAGGAAGAGGTGTATTCCAATTTAATTTTAGAAGCCAAAGTTTTGTAGAAATATTTTAGCTTTTGTCGTAACAGGTCCAATTAAACCTAACGGATCAAACAGGCGACCTATCGTTGATAAGACATCTCTTTTCGTGCCTGTTTCCTCAAAGTCAGGTATCTTTAGATCGTAAGAAAAACAGTCTGTAGACGTATTCCATGACATTCCTAAGGCCTTTGTAATCTGAGGCTTATCCGTAACTTTAAAGGAGTAATCCTGAGTAGCACTTTCTTTATTCTTCAATAATTCTGAAATGCTTGAACACCATTTGTGTAACTGCATTCCACCACGTTCTAGAAGACAGGTTAACTGTGCCTGCAACTCCTTGGCTCCTTGCATCGTATTAGCTCCAGTAATAATGTCGTCCACGTAACAGTCCTTTAGTATGGCTCTTGAGGCATGAGGAAAGTCTGTCGCTTCATCCATTGCTAACTGCTTCAGGACCCTTGTTGCAAGGAATGGTGCACTTGCTGTTCCATATGTTACAGTCCTTAGACAGTAAGTCTGCACAGGACTGCCAACTGATTCCTTCCATAAGATCAACTGCAGGTTTCGTTGAGATGGTTCAATAAGTATTTGTCTGTACATCTTCTGAACATCAGCTCCTAATGCATAGTTGTACTTTCAAAATCTAATAATAATAGAAAATAAATCTTCTTGAGGTATTCTCCCTTTCATTAAAATTTTTGAATTCAGTGACTTTCCAT